ACAGGATGGAAAATAGTAGCGGTGACTGGCGAATAACTTTAATAATGGAAGTAATTTGGAAATAAAAATAACTGCATTCGCAGATTTTTACAATGTTCACTTACCCGTGCATCGAACTTAAACAAAAATCACCTATATTTCTATTGTATGGACACAAATTGTGTATCACATTTAGCTATAATGAAACTTGTAATGTTACATATTGCATGTATTGATTATAAAATAAAGAAGATATCTATAATGATTATTACACAAATAATATAAAATTTTAATGTAAATTATGCAATAGCGATTTAAAAAAAACAGCTTAAGTTCAGAATATTTAATGATTAAGAATCTGTCTTCTTAATATTTCACTATTAGCATCGTTATTTGTAAAATATATTTCTTAGTACTTTAAATATAAGGCACAATGTTTGACAGAAATTCTTAATAACGTGCCTATATAGTGAAGTGGTGATTTCAAACTAACACAAGCTGTTTTTCTACTATTTTAAAAATATATATATTTCCTCTGTATTTTCAATATGAATAATTTTTGCAACGGTTTTATAGAAATTATTGTAAAATAATTTACTTACAATTCTAGTAAAATTTTTAAATGTGTGATATATTAATATTGTATACGTATTATTGTATTGAATTAAAAATAATATTATATTTGTTAAATATTAATATTGCATTATTAATAATAATATACTATTATTAATAATACAATATTAATATTTAACAAATATAATAAACAAGTTGGACCAACAAAAACAGATGGAAAATTACTAACTTTGAAACTACAACTATTGATTCCCCATGTTAGACCTAAGTAGTGTTTAATGTTTAATAATAATAATAATAATATTGCTAGATACAATGCAACATAATTCACGTAGCGGCATACAGTACCAAACTCGTAGCTCGTAGTTCTAAGAGTACTTTAGACTACTGACAGAAAATATTTAAATACATTTTTTATACCCAGACCCAGAATATCCAGAGACTATGAGACCCAGAATAGAAAACAAAAATAGTTACATTGTTGAATTGTATTATAGTGTGCTTCGATCGAACCCGCGATCAACGGAAGTAATGTATAGAGTTGAACTATAATATCTGTATTTAACTACGGTAAATACATATAATATAGTCGGCAAAATTATGTATTCTTATGCTGTTGACCGCAGCCACCTAACGATAGCGGGCGAATGCAGATGGCACTTCTAACCCGCGTAAGAAGTTATGGAGCGGCTGAAGGCTAACTCCTGCTGGTTCCTCCTACCTTACGTATAAAACTTTAGTAGAACTTGGGTAGAACTGATGTACCTACTTATTTCAGTAATTTTGAATGTACTTATCCGTCGATACATTTTTGTTGATCAAACCCAAATATACAACTTGTAAAGGAATTAACACGATTCCCTATATACAAATTAAATAAAAATACTTTTAGGATTATTATAGAAAGTTAAATAACATAACAAAATAGTTTACAGTATCTTTAACCAATTAAGTATTAGAGAACATGACCACGGTGACCATACTTTATGTCGTTTTTTTTACAAACTTAACAAACTAAAATTACCAGGAATGGCGTTAATTCTGTTACACATATAATTTAACAGATTATCATAATTATAGATATACACTAAAATAATCAATATTGCGATATTCATGAACAAACCCCACATTCTAATTCAAAAGTTTACAATAAATCAACACTAGCTAACAATAAATCAAAATTATTATATTCTAACACTAAACAATAATTTGAACTACTTATAATCAACTGTGTATGAAAATATTTTTATTTATTAGTTATTAATTATTCTGTATGCATACGTAATGCGACCATACATTCCGCTTCAGACTGTCTGTCCCGCTGACCATATCCTCGGCAAAATGTCCTGGTTGCATGTTGTGCAAACCAACAAACAATCATTTATTGTACGTACCTCTACATACAGTCTATGTCGTCGGGAATTTTCCGCCGAAACTTTTTTTCGCGCCTAATTTCTGTACGTTATGATGTTTTTTGATATCTTCAGCTTTACAACTTTTCTGCGCCTTTCCAGTTAGCGCAATATAGAATAATAACATATTCTCAAACGTTTTGCCATCTTCCCGAAAAAAAAAATGTGTTAATGTGCATATAATGAAACAGTAAGAAACTATGAATATATATAAAGTATATTCATGACTTTAGTATATTATTCGCATGTTCCAATTTCTCACTAAAAATGAATGGTCACGTTATGTATGCTCTGTAATATGGTGAATTCAGTAATGAATGTTAATGCGGTAACGATATATGTATCTAAATACTTTCTCTAAAGTAACTTCATTTTCGCAATAAAAACTGTGTAAAATAGCAATATGCTAATTAATATAAAATCTAATATATCAAAATCTGCTAATTAATACAAAGTGTATAAAACTGGATTTAGAGTCACGTGGATTATACGTGCCGTATTTATCCCTAAGGCAAAGCGAATTTATCTACTATATCTATATATTTTCAGTATATAATGGTCAATTTCTATACGCTAATCTATAAATGTACCTCTAAAATTGAAATCTTATTTCGTATCACTCCAAAAAACTAAATTTATTATAGATATATGTGTACTAATCTAAAATTACTTTATATTTTATTCGTGTTGATTAAATATAATATTTAATGATTTCAAATATAATTTTTTAATTTTAAAGATAGATTTAAAAATTGGCGGCTTAAAATCGACATATTGGCTTATTCTAAAATGTCAGCATCGAAAGTTATCTAAATATATAATTTTAATTACTACATAAATGAGGAGAAGTATTATATCCCATAAAAGCATTTTTTTATTATCTGTATGAATCCTACGATAAAGGGAAATGTTGTTAACGCAATCTCTTAATGTAGGTAATTAGAGATTAGATTAAAAAATATTTTAATCTCAGCCAGCGCCGTCCTTATATAGTTTAACTCTAAAACCAGCCTATACTCGTGCTATATATACTTGTACTCTATAAAGCTATTTACTATATAAGCTAGCGTGTCCCAATTTACTTTGTTATAATAATACTATTATTTATATTTACTATAAATCCGCAACGACTATAAATGATAAGCATGTGTGTAACACATTTTGTTTCTGTTATATTACTATTATATATATTTTTATATGATCACTTGTATAATTTACTGTTGCATTACACGATATCGGCCTACTTCACCGGTCGGTAAATTATAGAAGCGCCCATTGACAATCAACAAAAATCTATTAACTTTATGTCAAGCTGTCCTTTACCACTAACTAAGATTAGGCGGCTTAGAAGCATGTACGTACAACACGATTCGTGGCCAGATCGGCAGATCTGCTCTGTCGTAATGGTCGAGTTAATTAGGCTGACATATACATTATGTGTAGAGATAATACGCACAATTTAGAATCGATCTATATATGGGCCCGACGGATCGTATGCCGAATTGTGTTATTCGTAAACACTTAAAAGCGGGGTTACACGTTTCATATCGTATAACTAATAATTAATAGTATTTTTATTAATTATACGAATATAATATTTACATTATATGTTTCGAGATCGGAGAGCTGATTGATATATTTGACAAGGATGCCTTATATACATTTCAATAATATTTATTTACAGTATACATATGATCCGGCTGGTGCAAACTAGCCGGAACATCGAGTGTGGTAAACACTTTATTTATCATTAAGCGTATCGTGTTAAGACACGACAAACTATTGGTGGTATTTTATTAATAATATTTTTATGTTGTAGCAAGGGTTCTATTATATTCCAAATACAAACCAAAAGAAAATGTAGTAGAAGGAATATTTGATTATATACATTATAACGTAACATTATTGGACTCCTATAAGGCATTTAGAAATTTTGAATATGTCAGGTAAGGTGTGTACACTTATCTCTAAAATAAATTTGGCATTTTAGTTATACGATTATTTTATATACAATAACTACACTTAAAGAAAAAATCTGTGCAGTGACGACATAGAATTACAACGTATCACCTCAAAATACCGTAAGACGACTAGGGAAACAAAGCAAAGTAATATTGATTCAAATTTTTTAGATTACAGAAAATAAAAATTTTATTCAAAGGCATAACGTCAAATTATCGATTTAGAGATAGGTTTAAAAAAATTCTGATATTATCGCACTAGGGAAAAATGTGACAGATCGTAATAAGAACTTACTTAAGCCACTAATCTCGATACATCAAAGTTTACTATATGCTGTTGTCAATTATCTATCCGTCGACGATTTTTCTGAAATATCATAGAGAAATAAGATCTATCCTTATTTCTAAATGATATTTCAGGAAAATCTATGGTAATAATAACGACATATATTAACAATAGTACATTGAACAAAAATTCTAATCGTAGACTATCACCGGGGCGCATCTTGAACGGAATAAATGAAAATTAGTTTTTTTTAATCTCGGAAATTAAAATTGACAGTTTTAAATGTCAAATTATCAATGTTACCAGCTGTAGCGAGGTTAATATTTATTTTAGATGATTACTTTTAACGCTTTCTACGTAGTATCCAAAACATATATTTTTTAATATACTTACACTAGTATTTTCTGTCTTTGTGTTAAAACAAAAATACAAAAATACATTTTTGTACATACACTAATTTTACTGTATTTAACAATAAACCATCTACATTCAGATAAATATTTCAAATAGGTATATGTTTTAAGAAATATATGTCAATAAAAATAATCTATTTTGATACAACAACACTATATTTATAAATACTTATACAATATTAGTTTTATGTTAATGTGTTAAATTTAGTTTGTAACCGATATAAATCGCTAATTGATTGTGCGGCAATAAGAATTGCAAAACAGCTGGCAACATAGCTATAGTCTTTGTCTCCGAGATAAAAAAAAACAGCCTATAGTGGATGCAGATCGTCGGAACTATATTTAAACTGGCATAGTATACCTAAGGGCATTTTTATTATAAAGATGATACGAGAGGTCGCAACTCGAAGACTGCAGCGAGCGCAAGATGGTCAGACGCGTACACGTCATTTGGCAAGCAGCCCATCGCCTCACACTCCGCCACCGTCGGCAGCCGCAGCCGTTTGGACAGCGACAGGGCGGAACAGCAACTGACATAAACATATACACATGAACAAAATGTTAATACAATTTATTTAAATGTAATAGACATTAATTAATAGACACACGGATATTTTTGACAGAATTTTTTTCTTTTTTACAAATATTTTCTCTCTTACAATCTTCATCATCATCATCATCGCAGCCCGGAAGACGTCCACTGCTGGACATAGGCCTCCCCCAAAAATCTCCACGACGATCGGTCCTGCGCTGCTCGCATCCAATGCCTTCCAGCGATCTTGACCAGACCGTCGGTCCACCTTGCTGGAGGCCTTCCCACGCTGCGTCCTCCGGTCCGTGGTCGCCACTCGAGGACTTTACTGCCCCAACGGCCATCTGTCCTATGCTATGTAGCTATGTGCCCCGCCCATTGCCACTTCAGAGTCGCAATTCTTCGGGCTATGTCGGTCACTCTGGTTCTTCTGCGGATCTCCTCATTTCTGATTCGATCACGCAGAGTAACTCCGAAAATAGCCCTCTCCATTGCCCTCTGAGTGACTCTGAGCTTGTTCATGGGGCCCATAGTTACATCTTACAAACTTATTATTTATAATTACAATCAGCCAAATAAAATTTACAAAAAAGGAATATAGTAATATCTCACAATAATTCACACAGCGCCATCTAGAAATACATAATAAAAAACTCAGCTTAGCTTGCAATAATACGCTTGAATACAAATGCGTGTACCGAGCTAGTAAACGAATCATCGTATCGAAGGTAAGGCAATGTGCTAAACCGCTAGAGCACTGACTCTACTATCTATTATTCATATATTTATGTTTATTTTGATATTTATTGACTATGTTATAATACAAATATACAAAGATTTTATTTTTAACTAACGAAAAAAGAAACAAATTCTAGTACATACCTAAAATACATGTAGTCGACGGTGACCCATTGATCCTGGTAGGTGGAGGCTTCGCGCTGCTTGTCGGGCTTATATTTGTTGTATACAGAGACGAGGTTTAGTGAATGGCCGATGAGATCCTTGTTGAACAGAGCACTGTACCCTTCGCATGATGAGGCGCATATAGATTCAGACAGATCGCCACTGTGCTCCGAGTTATATATCTGGATACAATTATCAATATCAAATCAATTCAAATATAGTTAAAAGCAATTTCTCAATATTACGCACGCTGGCTCTCTCGGGTTAAATCTCGAGTGCTCCTCATCGCGCGTGGTAGAACGTGTCGTGTAAAGGCTGCCTTTAACGTTTCACATTTTAGTTACTTATGAAATTTAATTATTTTATATTAATTTTTTATCTCTACCTAACTGGGCAGTTCAGTTTACAAAGTGAAATGAGAAACTGGCAGGAAACATATAAAGGGTCTGCCCAGTTAAGCATACGAAGTCTGCACATGCACCTGTTTAAGGCATTTTAGCTTGTATTTGCAGTTCATCCTATAGAACTACTATACAAGTAGACCCTATAGCATCCAAGAAGAATATTTCCAGATTTTCCGATGAATTTCTTAATATTAATTGTTTATAGTATATTTATTATATAATTTATAAGCACGTATTTATGATGATAATATAGATATTGTTCCCAAGTATTATTATAATATTTAACGATTTGGATTTTATTTTAAACAATGTTCTACTAATTCGACGTACGACGATAGGAATTTTAACATATAATAGTTAACTAATGAAGAAATAAGACAATTATTTTTGGGAAGAATTTATTTGGGGATTAGTACTAAAATCCAGGCAAAAAATATAATTCTCAATTTTAAGTTTGTAACATCCCAAATGTTTTTAAATATATACACATACATACAGTATAAATTTCATAAGGATATCTGAACTTCATAAGGATACCTAACCTAACCTTTACCTATAACCTAAGGGCAGAGAAAGTCCGAAAAAGAGATGGATGGACTGTGTGAAAGATGATATGGTAAGATAAGGAGTAAATAACGAGATGACTCTGAACAGAGATGAATGGAAGAGAAAAACATATTACGCCGACTCCCAAATAAATGGGAAAAGGAAGAAGATGATGATCTGCCATAGGGATTAAGAAACAAAATAATCTCGTTAAGGGTTGTCACCCTCAATATTTCCTCAGTATATGGTTATGGACATGAAACTAATTGTGTAAAACAAAAACAAGAGAAAATTCCTTCAAAAAAGTGCTGGTACAGATTTCATATGCTTAATCGGGCTGATCATTCCTATTCTTTTTAAGTCAGTTTTATTAATATGGTTTACTTACATATTATTTTCTTTTTTCTATAATTAAATATAAATACCGTGCACGAAACCACTATTACCATGCACGATTGTAATTTAATTAATCAATATATGAACATCGATGAATTCTCTCCCTTTATATGATATCTAAAATGAGGGGCGTGTGCTTTGACGACTCTACCACCCAATTCTTATACCATGCTTATAATAATTAATATTAATTTAGTAAAACTACACGAGGCTTCAACTAGAACGCTCTTAATAAACAACCATACACACCAGCGCCATCTAGTCCCTAATAGATAAGTAAGCCAAAATTCATACTCACCCTTTCATCCCTAAATACCTCGTCAGCATACACTAATATCTTCACATAGTTATAGTACATGTAAATAGTGTATGTAAATATAAAACGAGCTTGTCCGTATTTAGCCTCGAATTCGGGCTGCTGTGCGTGTGGTGCAAAGACTACTGAAGTATCCAGTCAAGATACTCTCAGTTTTATAGCACAGAAAAAAATATGCAAACAAGCCTTCGGCGCACTTGATTGGAAGTGGTCATCGTCGCCTATGCATGAACACCAGAACTTACGTCATAAAATACATTGTAACGTCTCGAATCCGTCATATATTGCCGATCTGAGAGTTGTAATTCCCATAATTTCACTGCTACATTAATTCTTAGTGATCGACATTAACAATTTTGTGTCAAAAATTATGATCCGCAACAATACAGAAAGCTCAGTCTGGAAGAAACACTGACTCACACTTTTCAGCTTTTTAAGTACGTGTAAATTAATTAATAAAGAAATACAATAATAAAACTGACGACTGGAGAGACGTGAGAAGCGTTATATATATAATAATTTTGGTAAACAAGAAACCTGCGTATTGCAAGAATGTTTGCATTCTTGCAATACGCAAGTTTCTTGTTCAGTCTTCTTGAAATGAGTCTGCGTTCCAAATGATACAATAAAAAAATATGACATTCAAAAGGGCTATTAGGTTTATTTGAATACAGATTATTTCTAATACTTTTTCTAAAGTTTCGCAGCAGTATTAGGTTTGGGTACCTACTACTACAGACGAGTTTATACAAAATGTCTCTGGATTTAGAAACCGAATACCTGAGTGGTGCTAAATTCTGTAGTTCTACCCTGCATCCGGTCCAAGTATACAGATAAGTGCTGGCAGTTGTCTGTAACGCCGATACGTTTCCAATCCGAACTACCCCGGAACATGCTGGCTCTGGAATTGACAGATAAAATACTTTAGACATTCATATGTAACCCACGTTAAAATGAAATTACCTAATATGAAACTACCCAAGGGTCCGCTGTTGCATCGTTACATCTTTACTGTTTAATACATGGCACGAGATCGATAGTGCTTTATATACAGCATACACTAAGCCGAAAGTCAGGTAAAATACTATTTATCTGAAATTCAATTGACAACTTTTCATACCAATGCATGTATAAATATTTATAGAAATCGGATAAAAAATATATTTCATAAACATGTTTATTTCTTGGTATGCGACATTTTCAGTTTCATGCGTACTATCACTGGATACCGGCTTCCTATACACTTTACCTCTAACCACGTATAAAATCATCATCTGCCTCTTTCTTATCCTATTCATTTAATGTGGCGTAATATGTTTTTCTCTTCCATTTATGCCTGTTCGCAGTCATCTCGTCATTCACTCTCTTTCTTTCCATATAATCTTTCTCACTCGCCATCCATCTTTTCGGCCTTCTCTTATAACGATCCACATTAAAATATAATAAATTCTAAGGTATTCATTCTTTGTCTTATCCATTCATGCCACACCACACATCCATAACCATGTATAAAATAAAACAAGTGAATGCGAAAATAGTATATATCATATAACATAAAGAATTGTATATTTTCATTATAATTAACATCTATAAATATCTGCATTTATTCTAAATTTGTGGATATATCATGCGTTCGGACATTTTTGACAACTCTGACCGGCTTTCACTATGAATTTTAGTCTTATGACTACTGTGTGAGATGAATGCAAATCTATATTTTCATTTCATTCAATCTGTAAACTAATATCTTCCATAGGGATACCACAAATACACAACAAATTCTTACCTGACGAGTCCTCTATCTAACAGTTTTATTACAGCACTATCCGGTGTCGAATTTAAGTCCCCCGTCATAATTATGGGTAAGTGGCCAGACCTATAACATAAATGGAACACATTTTTTTCTTAATCTTTAGGTACATTTTACCAGAGACAGACTATTAAAAGTCAATTGGGTGCATACCTCACTCCCACCAATTTCCTCAACCCAGCAGCTTGCTTTGTAAGCTGTGTTTCTACAATAGGCAGTAAATTATAATATAAGAGGCGTTGACATCTTAGTCCTCTGGAGAGGCAACACATGAGTGGTATGGCAGGTATCATATGATAATATGATGTCCATAGTGCTGTTCATGTATATAATTTTATTGGCCGTCATCCAATTTGCCATTCTAATTAATAAAAAAAACAGATTACCCACGAGAAAAATGGTCGTATCCATGCTTATCGTAACGATTGGTATACAAATAAGATTACCAGTAAACTCACTCTCTGCCATTGTTATAGTAAGCGAATCTGTCCAACTCTGCGAGCAACACTTGAGCCTGTGCTAGTCTCACGTCGGTTCTCTTAGGGCTGTATAGAAGATGGGTGGTAGCTACTACTATGGGCATTCTGGGCATATTCTTGGGGATCAGCTTCACCATAACGCCAATGTTGTCGCGGTTAAGAATTGGTAGCTCAGGCTGGTGGAACTCCACCTATAAACAAAGTAAAATAGTTATAAAAACTACAATGATAAAATTTATCCACGTTTATTATCGAAAATCAATTGTAGAGAAATTGAGAAAAATTTTATACATTTTATTATTATAGTGTATTTGAATATGGGGCAGTCAGGTGCATTGTCATACTCGAGCGTAGTGCTCGGATAATAATTGTATAATTGACTTAGCATAGCTATATACCAGATTAATTGGGTTTCCATTATTGGAGAGAAATATAAATTGACACACAATTTCTTCAATGCTGACCAGATTTAAATGCATTTTAGCTTATACATATATATCAGAGAAATTAACCACTATTCGATGCTTCAATGGCTCGAGGCTTCGATGCTATTCTTTTTATTATATTGAATTATTCTATCTGTTCTACTAGAATAAATCTAGACACCTACTTATAGGCTACATCGTTGAAATACAAATATTTCATACATGTCTAATCTCGATACTTGTTTAGCATTATTAAAGTAAACTCAATCCCATATTCAGCTAAGCTATTCATGTAACTGTGTCAGATTTCTCAAGGGACACGGGACTAAATATGGAAAACAAGTATTTTTATTCTTCCATAGTAAATGGATCAAGTGGCCATGATGTTTGCATGAAAAATTTATTGTATATCAATCTATGATCTACATTGCAAAATCTGGACGAGTTTCAAGACAACAACAATTTACAAACATTATTATGAATCAGCGCAAATCGCATTATTATTAACACTAGTGGCCCGTTCCGACTTCGCCCGTGTTGATAAATGTACATAATATTGACACACATATATTATTATTATTGTTTTTTTATATGTATATTATATATCTCCCTTTGATTTTATTATTATTTACATGATTTTAGATTTAATTACATTTGAAGTATAATACAGTGAAATACATATAAAATCCGTTATGTGGTATTTAAGAAATAACCGAAGAAACAAACATATACGATAGACGACTTATTTTATACTATTAGAAATTAATAAATACACTTGAGCGAAGACAAAAATGGATTAGTATTCCAATAATATTTTTTATATTTATTAATTAACTTTCTAGGACCCATTTTAATAATAATAATCGAAATAAATTCAACAGTAAGGCTTAAATGATGTACATGTAAAGAAATTGAAATCTTTCAAAATTCGGAAATTGACTATCCCATAATACTCATAAATACGTAAGGTTCTTAATATATCTATATATCAAGAATAATACTACAATACAGATGAAGTCATGTAAAGATTTTTTTTTTAAAAACAGCTTGAAAAAATTATAAAACATATATTTTTTTTATTTCTATATACTGAATATAGTCTTTACCCTATTTAGGAAATTATAAATCTGAAATAGTTATTATGGTGGTAGCTAGTTAGCAGTTTAGCACACATCCTTAATCCTTATGGTGGTGGGTTCGATTCCTCGCACGATTCTAACATTTGCATTCTTAAGTATTGTTTCTATTAGTGTTTCTATGCATATAAAGTTTTACTTAAAATACTTGTATTTACAAAAAAAATATTTAAATACTTCTATCAGTTGCCTATTACTCATAACACTTGCTCTGTTTAGATTGTAACTAGAAGTGGCTGCGTGAATTGTCTAGAGCTAATAGTATTACTTGAGACGTACTTCTTTGAGAAGAAATAAATCACGTTAGTCATAATGCACATAAACAACAAATATAACGATAAGCGGCACGTGTACAGTAATCAAAGGCAGCAGTACTTTATCTATATGTTACACGACCTAAGGTCACACACAGTTAGTAGGGCATCCAAGGGACCTTGACTCTAACATAGGCTCATTCTAATGACAAAACTTAAGACAGGTTTGTCGACAAATCACTTATTGGTTAAATGTTCCCAGAATATCATTTACAGTTCTTAATATAGTAGAGAGGAAAGTTTGTTTCTTTTTTTGTACTTTATAAGAAAATTATTTCACTGAACAAGATACTATTCAAATAAATATATTATTTAAAAATATTATTATATATTAAAAAAACAATTTCAACTTTATTTTTCTAAAATAAAAGTAAGTTACTCCTTATTACATCAGCTACCTGTCAAAAAAGGTCCCGTCAAAATCGGTCCAGCCATTTTAGCCGGAACATTGACAGACAGACATACAGACAAAATTTGTAAAAAATGTTATTTTGGCATATATACCGAATTTATATTCATATGCATGTACTAAAAAATGGTTATTTCAATATTACAAATAAACACTTCACTTTTATATATATGTATGTATATAGATAAACGCGAAAGTTTGTGAGTATAGATGTATGTTACTCTTTCATGGTACTCATTTCATACTCAAAAACTACTGAACATATAGGCTATAAATTTCACGCGGGTGAATCCGTAGGCACAGCTAGTATATAATAAATTTCCAAACTAAAATAGTGGTAAAATAAAACGGATTTTCATGGTATATTTATTTCACTTGACACTATTTGGGGCAAAGATATTCATAAATACATCATCGTGTACCAAGGTGCAGAAATGTAATATGAAATTACTAAAATAACAGAAAAGAAAAGAAATTAAATTAACATTCATAAAATTGTCAGGAAATTATTTTCTGGGTATTGTAATGAATTATGTTACAATACCCAGAATTTGTTTGCACAATTATGTTTTCTTTGCGCTTCTATGTACACTTCTTTTATGTTATTGTTCTATAGTTTTTAAAAAAACTTATTCTAAATTTTTAGGCTCCTTATGCCAACATTAATGTTTTCTTTTCATTAATAAAATTGTAATAAATACTTTTTGATACTCGTTGTCCATCTACTGTATATACATATCATTACATTTAATTACGACTGTGTTGAATGTTTGTGTCAAAATAAAATAATAAATACAATGTAATTTCACAGAAAATGAATTGTCATACAGTCACTTTATTTATTACTAAGCGATATAATAAACAGGAAAACGCCAGCTAATATCAACAAACAGTCATTTAGTAGACACAACAGCAGCTACAGTAATATAACTTCCAAATGCAACTTAAGAAAATTTTGTAGCAGCTTGCTCTCTATGCAAAATAAAAATACATTAATTAAACACTTCATTTTATAAACTAAGTACAAAGTTGCCTTTCAACTTTCTATCTTGCTTATTTCAGCTAAGTAGTGTGTGTTGAAAGATTTGGCAGTAAAGGTACAGGGTACTCACAAACATTTGCGTTTATAAAATTATGTCATGCCGTAATTTTATAAACGCAAATGGATATTTGTTACTATTTCTCGCATAAACGAATTTTGATGAAACTTTACAACAATGGAACTTATACATCAGAATAATACATAGGTTATAAATTTTATACGGGTGAAAACGCGCGCACAGCTTGTATTGCAATATATCTCGGAACAATTCACACAGGTCGCCAGCTTATTTTCCATCCCAATTACGTAAAAAAAGGAAACGTCCTAACGCCGTTATAATCCTTGTAGAATGTTAATTCATGGGATGGGGCCCCATGCCATGCGTCTCTAAAAATCTCCTGTAAACTCTTCTTACCGCTTGTTTTTAAATGTACGCGCAGCAAAATGGATGGTAGGTACATATACAAAAAAAAGTTTAGAAATAGTCGAGATTGACAAAAACGAATAAATTATTTTGACCGTGACTTTTTTCACACTCGAAGTTTTGGAAGATTTTTTCATATTAAGATTTTTCCGTAATAAATCTAAATATGCTATACTATTAGTAAAACAACAGTGAGAAATTAATAGGAAATAGACATTAGATATGTTTTTTTATTTGTTTATGTAAAAAGATGACTACAATTAAGACAAAATGAACTCGCATTCTTTGGAATCAGTAAAAATAGAAACACGTCGCAATATGAAAATAAATGTAGAAAATATTTTCCTAAACGCTGGCAACTTTGTTCAATATATGACTCATATTTTTTATATACTAAATGATGGGGACTAGCATACGGCCCATCTGATGGTAAACGGTTACCGTCGCCTATGAACGCCTGAAACACCAGGGGTGTAACATGCGCGTGCTATGCTAACCCTTAAAAAACCTTAATATACTACCTTCTGGAATCTATGTTACTTTAATATACATTTATTAAACTACGCGAGCATTTATTTAATATTTCGCTTTGAAGGCAGCTGTATTATACAAACAGCTTATCAAAGACGCAAGCGAATTAATGAAAACGAATATACAATTTCCTGCATAAAAACATAAATTAAAGTAAGTCTACACCTCTGGACATATCACAGTACGATAGTAGAGTATCTAATCATATAAAAACATAATGTCTGTAGATGGAATATATACGAGGAAACCTATTATTTGGTTATTATTTAATCAGAACACAAACGAATAATTGTTAGAATTTTTCTGTTTGTTTCTGCTTGGCTATCTCAGAAACGGCTTAAATGATTTGCGTGTGGTTTTCACTAATGTATTGTAAGCTGATTAGATTAAAATAAACACTAAATTTTAACTAAAGCCCGCAAATATTTAGTTAAAATTAACTGTTGATTTTATTCCAATCCGTTTACAAAGGAGTAATTATAAGTTATAATAAGTTATATATTATAACTCATATGTCATTCCAAATACCACAGTAGACAAGTATGATGCCCGCGACGTCAGATAGTTCGTACATAACACACGGACGAACCGCGTGGAGGTCGACCTGACTGTATATTGCTAGCAATGGGGTTATCAATCCACAATACTAACAATCCCCTTCCCCTCGCGTACCGGTGTTATACCATTACAAAACCATCAATAATATAACTACCACCACAATAACTAACTAACAACTAAACTAACTAACACCAACAGGTGGGGGAAGGGAATTGTTAGTAAAGTGGATTAATAACCCCATTGCTCGCTATAGACCACGTACAGATTGACCTCCACGCTGTTACCCTAGAAACCAACATTTTAATCCTGGTGAATTTAAATTTTTCTAACTGGTTAGAACATCGTGACAAACACATCTAGTACACACCTAATACACATCTTATCATTGTCCACTGGCGCCCCGTCAACGTATACCGTAAATTCGAGCGTGAGCATCATTCCATTGTCATCCATTATAAAAAAAATACACTAATAAGTTCAATACAAATTATTGTTGACGCTAGCGAATAAATGAAAATTATACGAAACAATAAATAGAGGTTATTACTTTGAACAGATATCAAAGCACTATCTAATCTTCAAATAAGCAGTCTATTCTATTCGTACTAAATAACATTTTTACATAAACATATAGAAATTGTATAATAGAGTCAGACTCTTTTTGTAAAAAATGTTCATATTATGCAGGACTCGAATCTGCGACCATCGCAGCAAGGACGTGGTGAATCCTATAAAACCAAGGTCATCCTGATGATAACTTATATAAAACACAAAGGAAATATAGAATAGATACTAAAGAGTAAAAAGGTTCATATTATGCAGGAAACACATTTAATGGACTTTTATTGTCCTTTGTTTATCTGTGTCGCAATAAAGAGTTATTATTATCATTATATTATGTAGGATTCGAGTCTGCAACGGTCAACGGCGAAATTGTGTTAAATAATAAAATCTCAGGACAGAAGAGCTCGTGTTATGGGTACTATAGACAACCGATATAATTTTATATATATACATTTTCTTGTGTATGATTTAAATATATCATACATTGTATATGTACATGTGACCGATACAAATAATGATACTCATGAATAGAAATGTTTGTTCCGTACGAGGAATCGAACCCGCAAACATCGGAAGTGTCTCAATGTGCTAAACCGCTAGTTCACCGAGGCCATTAAATAACTATAAAAACAAGGCTTCAAATGATATATCATATACAATAACAATAACAACAAGCTCATTACAAAAGTGTATAACAATGCGTCCTTTGTTAAGATATTTAATTTATAGATGAGGTACAGATAAAATAATGAAGATAACTTACGGTAAAATGTTCTTCCTTTTCAAACATCGACTGTTTATAATAAATTGCACATCCGTCTGCTCTATGTCCAGTTTTCTGCTTGAAGATGCCGACATAGCCAATATTTTCGAATTTAGAGTAAAAACTTTTTAGATGCGAAGCCTGCACTTCTTGCAAGCAGATTATCTGCCGATAAAATCATTACGCTTCATTGTCTGTATCTATTTTAAAAATATCAGATGAACGTAATGCGTACAATATCAGGGATCCATCTCGTGGTAAGGCGTTACATGCCACTGTATCTGCCACAACGGCAGAACGTGGATTGAACTTTATTAACTGTTGCTTACCCATTTTCGAATAATAAATAAATTGCATTGGACAAATTGAGGTTGAATTGAAAAATTGCATCAATCTCGCGTGGTTACAGAGCAATAATACAAGTGTCAGGTCTCCATTTCATCTCCAGAATGTCGTAAACGGCAACCAGTGGAACAAAACACTGACACCTATGTCACATTTATAAAAAACCTAGTGACCCGCCATTGCTACGCATGAGCGTCAAATACGTGACGACGTCTGAATATCCGCAAGGTTCATATGCATGTTTTATTATTATATTAATATCTATATATGAAGCAAAAGCTTTATACCCCATTTTACAAAACTTGCGCAAACGCATGAGAATTAAATTTTACACATTTACAACTTATAGTGAAGGAGTGTAGGATTCCAATATACATAAAAAAATATATATATTAAGAAACATTAAATCAATCACAAAAACATTAAACATACTACCGCGTATTTGACACACAAATGCATATATATGGTACAGTCTTTATTGTTAAAATATATATGCTATTCCTGGTTCAAGGAAATTTTTGTATTTTTAATTACGAACGAATTTTGACCACAGCATTCACACACCTTCGTAATAAAATTGTCTAAACAATAGGTCAAAATTATTACGCGGTTTAGAAGAAGTAGGTAAACTGATATATGTAAATACACATAGATAGATACACAAATACAGACATTTTATAGGATTTATAGATACTTACATCTGGTGCCAAATTGACAATTTCATCGTAAATTCGTGCCGCACGCACCTTCCATTTCAGGTTCTTTGATGAAGATCCCGTGTACAGATATGGATGACATTCCAACAAATACTGTGCTAATACATTGTATGAGAGCACTTTAAATTTAAATGAGGAACCTAAAATTAGAATTTAATATTCAATGAAGATATAAAATCATTATCTGTTACAACTGTATTCAGTCTGCATAAAACAACATGTAGGTATGCAGTATGCAAGCTATATTATATAATTGAGCAGATTTGCAAGTAATGTACCGAGTGTCGGCACCGAAGATTGCCCATCAATTTATCACTGTACAGCAGTTATCCTAATTCAGCAAATAGGGGAACATTTATAGCATATGTATGTCACGTATGTATTTTACGGACCTTGTTTGCATAGATCTTTGTCACTAAGACAAATTCTTTCCTTTTTTTTTTAATATTCTAACGCATTTATAGCTTTATCCATAGAGAGCGAGTACAGATAGCATTCCAAGCCCCCGGAAGGACGTATGGAGCGGCTGAAGGCCAACTCCTGTCTGATGGATACAACTTTAGTCTTAGATGGGTTTGAACCTCGACTCGGACCATCGTAATTACGATAACCGTTTGAATTAGACGTGAGATTGAGCAGAGGGGCAACAAAGCAGTGAAATTATGCAATACGATGAAATTGCAAAGTTCGTAGACATGATGACTCAGTTGTCTGGAATAGCAATACATGAGGACCACGGACAATGCAACGTTATGTCAATGATGGTGTTTACAGTGACCACTTGCCATCAGATGGATTATTTGCCATTTTATTAAAGTTAAAATAATACATATATACTCCATTTATATGTATATAGTATAGATTAAATAGCAATATATTAAAATATAAAGGATCAGAAAATAAACTTATTCATAGTGATGTACTACTTTTACTACTCGTACGAACACGATTTACTATGCAAAACAATTAATAATGTTACCCACATTTAGTTGAACCTATAACGCCGAAAGTGTAAAAAAATAATGTTTACTTTAACATTGTTTTTATAGTAGTTAAGAAGAATAAGGATAAACTCACGTAAACAACAACTGAACAAGACTTAAGTGTAATATGAATGTCTAATTTATTGGCATGAATAAATGTATACATACAATATATTACCATCTACAATGTATCACATTTGTATGTATACCATTCAGTTGACAGATAATTTATCTGTCTTCATAGCAGGTCACTTATTTATTTATTTTTTCAATCTATTCTAATAGTGTTGCCAGCAGCTTTAGTCTATGGACAGCACTAGGAGTTCGAGCCTTGCTTCATGGCGTCGTAATTTCGGTCTGCATTGGATTGGGACAAGAAATCTATCAGATACTCTGTACACATTCAGAACACATCGCATATGCTGACTTTGGAGATTATATTTTTTATTCAGGTAATTACAACTTGGTTTATACAGAGGTAAAAACTGTTTTTAGCGACTTCTACAAAGAGTAAAAGTTTCCAGTGGTTCTTTAATCGATAGTAAATTCATCAACATTTTAAAGGATACTTTAAATTTGTTTTGCTCTGCTTTTTAAATTAAAATAATTAGAAAAAAATATGCATATTAGTGACACTTACAATCACTAAGATAGTAGCATAGACATATTTATCTTCCGACTTTAAAACAAAACTAACTATTACGTACTATTTCATCTCAGTTTTTTCAGATAAAAGGTCGTGATACAGTGTATTCTTGTGTCAAATTGCATTAAGATTCGTGTTTACTCATAAAAAAAGTAACAAACAGACATACTATTGTATTTATAATAAATATTGATGTTAAAACACGAAGGTAGGCACCGGAACTTCGTAATAAAGCAATATAGGCCAAACGTCTTGGTTTGTTGATTGAAGTGGGTAGTTTCGTGACTAGTAACACATAACGCACATAACTATGTACAATAGTCGTAGTATTAGCTGTCATTACACGACACGTTCTTTGGTGCGATCAGGAGCGCGCGCGATTTAGCGCGTAAAAGCCACCGCTCGCAATCGTATATGTTGGCATTTAATTACTTTATATTTTCACTCTTTCACCCTTCATTTTCGTTCAATGCAATTTCAGTGTCCTACAAAACAATATTTTTAATTCCACAGATTTTATTCTATATACATTATATATTTACATACACATTCTTTCCTGTGTGAATGCCGATTCGCGCGTTTAAAGAGCGTACTTATAAAACAGGTACTCGCATCATTCCGAAATACAGATTGCTTTCAATCTCACAGGGAAAACTATGTTAACGAACCATGTTTCTAAAACTCGAACTAACCAATAGCGAATATAATGCTCATACCTATTTTTATTACTGCTTTCTATCAGATACCACCATCGATAAATCAGAAGTTGAATGTACATACTATTGTAGACCCTCGCGATGAGATTCCCGGATCTATAAGGGACCGATACATAAGCGCACGCGCTGATGTTACACAGTATTAACTAGCCGTAGCGTAACACAGCCAATGCAGGAAAATATTATAAAAAACAGTACAATTGGAGAATCTCTTTTAGAAGTTGATTGAAAGCAGTAAAAATCCTACGCACCTTTGATTTTAAACTACGTTACATTACTTGCCTACTCTTTTGAGTTGCCATATATTACAAATCTAAATAATTAAATGTTTTTTTGTGCTAGGTTCTCCTAAAACCTAATCCTTAACCTTAAGGGAGACAGGTGTCGCTATTGTCCATAGTAACTCTATTGCAATCCTTACGACTTATTGCTAAAAAATAAATAATCTAGAATATTCCATGACGAAACTTGAATATTACCCGATATTGTGTCACTCCTTTTTCCTACCGGCTCCCAGACACGAAAATTTGGTGGAACACTGGTCTTTGGTATCTTAGCATCGTGTGGGGAGTCATCCCCAATTTGCATCTGCCATTCATTAACACTGTTACCTGGCGAACTAATACATAATAAATTAATACTGTAATACATTAGTGTATGAAAACTTCAAGAAGTTTAAAAGTCACCGTAACTAGGTATGTTATCTGCTTTTTTAAACAAAAATTAGCTTATGTCCATCTTCTTGATACAATTATTATTATTAGGAATGATCCAATAAGTAAAATACCTTCATTCAATGTGACACACTTAAAGTTTCAATCTGCCTATGTTATAAAAACATTTCACTGTTGTTATATTAGTTTAATTTATATTAAAACAGAACAATAATTTGTATTTTTTTTAAATAATACAAATATTTTATGTTTATTGGAAGTTGCCATCATTAAACAATATAGTATCATCATTGTACTATATTGTTCAAACAACAATAATAAACAAATGGCATTGGTTGGCTCACCTTCATTTCTTTGCCAATAGAAATAGTCAAATATACTTCAATATTATATTTATGCAATCAATGCACACAATAGAAATCTATACTTATAAAATTGCTTGTGCTGATTATAAATCCACTGCAAAATTTATGAGTATAATAAATTAAATTTAGAAAATGGGTTTTTTTTTAAATTAATCTATTAATAAATGATTTTTTAGAAAGTGTTTCACAGCTTGTAAGGCATAATATTCCAGAATAATATAAACTATATATTATGATATACAAAACTGACAAGCAAAAGTAAATAAAATTATGATTATACTGTTTGACTAAATATTTATTTATTTTAAACTTTATATAATCAAGACATTTATCATCGTAATATTATTTAAGAGCTCCGAATCGTAAATATGTGATTTATATAATATATACAATTGTAAACAAGTGAGAAAAAAGCTTAAAACAGTGTGTATTCATTTAGTTTACTTACTCAATAAGCTGGCCTCCATGGCTATTGTGATTGTTATTCGGCTGTAATTCACTCATTTGATTGAATGTTTCAGATTCATCTGATTTTAAAGATGGTATTTGTATCCTTATTCTCTTCTTTTTACTTGACAGCAACCTTAATTGTAGTGCAGTACAGGGGCAGCAGTTTATTGTCAATGTGTATGTACTGCTTTCTACACTGCATTTCTTTCTGCTACAACTTAATTGAGTGAAGTTTCTTACATGTGCACCTACACTTATGCTCTCTGTGACTTTCAAGTATCTGTAAAAACTGTTGGACAATTTCAGCATAGCTTTACAAATATAGATTAAGTAATAATAATAACACCATGACTAGTTTAGCAACCACAGCCTTTATGTACATGCATCATTATATTATATTGTCTTGCATAATTTAATTATAATAATTTTGTTTGACATGGAAATTGCTCTGTTGTGCTCATTAAAATTGTAACCTGAAAGAAAACATTTTTTATTACTAACTGTTTGTTAACTACACTCTTATTCATAATGGTAAATATTATGGGGAAGGAGTTTTTTAGTACTCTGGACTGATGACCAAATAGCTAGCAATATACCATATTAGTCGGACCTCCAAGTGGTTCCCCTGGAGACAATTTGTGATAAATTATAAGTGATTTTCTCACAATATGCTAGCTGACTTGACCTTATGCTCATCCTATCATCATCCAGTGTTGCCGCACCGGCATATACCTTTAGTGCAGACAGATGAACCATTCCATTATCATCCATATAACCTATTTTATAATTTAAACAGTTATGATGTTGATAGGAAGCAGCACATTTGTCGAGTAGTTTATGACTTCTAGTTAATGACTTTTATAACATCTAGAATTGTATAATACAATAACTATATTTAAAAAAGCAATCCACACAACAATTTGAATTCCAGCACTGTACAGGAATAGTTGTAAAGGGTACCAAAATGAAAAACAGTGACTTTATTCTTAAAACTGAAACTTTCTCCATAATTAATAATAATAGTCCAGGACAACTTACTTAGTGCCCTATGGTCTGAGGCTTAGCAGAGCTTTTATTATAGATACTTTTTTTTTTATTTATATCATGCAATCAGTCTTCCAGACTATAAGCAGATTTGTTGACTATCTGATATAGTGAGAGGTGATTCTCCATTGAGAATCCAGCTTCAGATATTCCAGCTTATTATAGATACTAGATAACTAATAAATATATTTAAATACATCTTTATACTGTGAATGCATACAGAATTTACCAATAAAACACCCAGAGCAAGTAATCATAATTATAAGTAGCCACTGATGATTGACAAGATCAGGCAGTGTAATAAACCAACAGATCACTGAGGCCATCACAATGTGAAAATATGTAATTAATTCATACATATTAAACAATTCTATACCAATTCATTATGAATCATTAGAAATTTAGTGTCAAATTTTCACTTTGTTTCTTGATTAAACTGGTTCAGTATCATGAATGAGTAACATATCCTACTTTTAATTTAGTATACCCTTCACAACTAACCAAGTATGCATGCATTATTTACAACATTCAAATATTGAATTTTATTATCAATATAATTGAAGTAGGTATTAATACAACTTTATAGATAAAAGATAATCAATTAAATCTTAATTCCTTAATATCACAATGAAATACTTATGTAGCCCCAAGCTAAAAGTGCGAGATTACATAGATATTGTATGTACTTTTCAATACACATATATATTAGGAACAGTAAACACAATTTACAGAAGATTACTCCTCTACAAGGATAATATATTTAACCATTGTTTTGCATATTATATAACAATATTTTGTCCATAGTCACTCAAAACAATAGGAAAGATAAAAGTACATGATATTAAAACGACAACATAGAGAACATTAAGACAGTAATCTAGAAATAAAAGGCAAATAAATTTAAATTAGCGACTTACACAGTTCTTATAAAGTCATACTATATAGTTTGTAAAGACAAAGAGCAAAAACCATGACGAGCTACTAAAATCTACTGTAAAAACATATTTTTATTGACCCACCGACCTCTCGTATCAGTCGTATTGTTGTACGTCGAGTGTCGACATTTTTCTTGAAACTTGACTATTGTCAAAATTGTCATTTGACTGTCAACTCTAAATAATAACATTCTACTCTGTAAACGTCACTGTCAATTTTTTTGTAGACAGAGGACGATATTAGGATAGTATACATGATGCAGCTGCAGTAGTTAATAACGCTAATAACGTCAAGTCTTGAAAAAACGACTGGACTTGGAGACTATTTGGACTGTAAAAATCAAATATCTCCAAAGTTGCTTCACAATACATTTACGGAAATATTATGTATCGTCTCGTCTTTTATAATGAAACAGTCTGTCCTCAATCGGAGAGATTGAGAACAGACTCTGGTAGTTTTGTTTCAAAGCTTATTATAACATTGAAGAGTTTATAAATGTTAATAATGTTCTTGTAGAGAAAATATAACTTGAAAATTTAGCGCTTACAATGTTAACTGATTGACAAAGGCTGAATACGTAGCGGTGTCTATTTTGATTCACACATGCTTAATCCTTGTTAATGTATATTTATGGAAGTTGTTTTACAACTTCCATTTAAAAGAGCAACCCGCAAATTACTTGCTCGTCATTCTTGTAATGAATATGCATTCCGAATGAAGTAGGTAGAATAAAAAGAATAATATTCTATTTAGTACCTAGTGATTTTCACAATATTATATTAATATATATATATATATATATTGGTATTAAAAATATATATTTTAATTTAATAATGTTAAAAAGAATTATTTCAATATCCACACTGTAATTTATGTAAAGGACCATTAGGATAGTCTTCCCAAAATATTAGCAGTATAATCTCGTTAAAAGACTGAGTTGATCTATTGAGCGAGGAAAGTGCCAGCTTAGGTCCCCAGTAAATAAATATGGTCGTTAACGAATTTATATCGGCTGGTAGCTTATTGAGCCCGAGTCTTGACTCCGAACAATAAAAACAGACAGTAGGTACTTCTAAAATGAACAGTATTGAACAATCCACTACTGCCGCACGTTGCCAAATACATAGAATAAAGAGCGAAATCTAGACACAATGTATAGGTTTAGGATCTTAGATAGATCTTCTTTTGACTTAAGAAAACCTGACTTACGAGAAATAGTCTCGAGGCGTGCTCTTTTGAACCTTGAACCGCCCTGTGAATGTGTAATGGAACAATGCACCTGTTTTCGCCAACGATAGCGCTGGCGGGCACCAGTGTCAATTCACCAGGAATTTATCACGATGTTTTACAGAGGGAATCGTGTGAAGGTCAGGTTTGTACCATCTAGAATAGATACGTGAAGTTCTGGTACCTTACTCGCCATTTAAATTTGTTAATATAAAAAAGAATGTACTTATGATTTTTAATGTCACTCAATAATAAATTACGATTATATCAGTTTGCATATTTAAATGATCTTTCCTAAACTCTTTATTTACGGACTATATTTATTTTAAAAAGGTAGCAGAGTATCGTGTCTAATTGCCAAATCGCACGTAACGGTCGACTGCAAAAAAGTTATTAACACCAGATTATTTTCGTGTACGTGGATATAAGATTAAACTATAGTTATGACCATGGAAGGAAAACAACGTTTCAAGTCTTACCACTGAACGAACACAACTGGGTTACATGGAAATTTCAAATAAGACTAGCTCTAAAAGGTTATGATCTCCTACACGTTGTTGAGAAAGATTTCGTAGAAAAGGATAGAGCTACGACTGCTGAGCTTGAAAAATATGCCAAAGAAGATAGTACAGCATTTCTTATTATAACGACGTAATTTAACAGAAGAGAATATCATGAAGGTAATGCGTTTTGAAACAATAAGAGATGCTTAGCTAGAGTTGCACCGCATTTACGAAGGTGTGAAGGATGGAGATCAAGATGACGAGCAAAAAGTAAAACGGCACCGTTGTAGTTGATAGAATATTTTTGTATTAAATTGACTTATGTCATATAAAAACAATATAATATTATAAAAAATCAAACAATAAAAAAGGTATAAAAATAGTTTGCAACATCGTCCCAGCCGTGTAGCACTTTGCTACACAATTATGTCCTCATGGAGTAGGGCCTTTTTGTCCAGCACGGGTTTCCTCAGCGTGCCCCCTTTGGAGGCCACATCAGCTACTCGCACAAGTCCATCGTTGCCCGGGAAAAACAATGTATTTCTACGTATCTATGAGGGCATAGGCCATATGTCAAGCGGTAAATCGGGTGGTACAAATTTCCAGTCATAGTGCATAGCATCAGCGAAATCTCTCACGAACTGGTAATGGAACACGGCTAACTTCAGGCTTTCACTATCGAACTGTCTCTTTGGTATGCTTCTGTCTAATATAAAGCCTCGTAAATTTTTTATTCTGCAATCAGTTGAAGAATTTTCGACGATTTGTAGAGATGTTTCATAGGTCTTCATGCACATGAATAAACGAAAATGTGACATTCTGTGTGACACCGTCTTTGAAACATCCATTTTATTTTCTAAGTTCTTAGGCAATGTATTTGAAAACTCTTTGTTATCGTTCAATGTAGGTTGTCTAGAGAAACGAACATTATTTGACGTTGACCGAAATAAATTATTATTAGTCGATTTTGATGTAATTTGACATGTCAAAGGTTGTTCATTGTCAACATATTGCAAATATTCATGTTTTTTAGCATTATCAGAAGAAAATATAGTCGGAATATTACGGTTGATAGGTTCCGAAATATGATGAGATGAATTACTCACATAATTCTGATCGACATAGTTAGGCTCCGGAATTGAACCTGGTAAAAAATGAGCGTTATCTTTTTGTTTAGGATTCATTACGGGCTCATTGATGTCTATATTTGGACAGGTAAAAGTATTATGTGCGTCGTTTACCCAGGACGCAGTACGAGAATGTGATGGACTAACCAAACGAGTGGAGCGGCGCTCTGATTCCTGAGGCGCTAGGTTTGCTTCCATCTCCAGTTCTTCTACTTGTTTAGCCTGTTGAATGAGCTTACGTTCATGTTCATACCTTTTCTGGGCCAGCTGCATGGCGAACTCTTGCTCACGTTCAAACTGCTCACGTTCCCGTTCCATGCATCGTCGAGCTAACTGTGCCTCTACAGTCAACCTACGTGCCCTAACTGTGGACGATGACTGTAGCGACCCCGACAAATGCACTTTAGAACTGGAGCCATATTTCTTGCGCTCGGTGCTTAACGTAGGACTCTGAATAGGCGTAATAAGTTCAGGGTGGCTTGCCGCGAGCATCAACGTGGGTTCGGCTAAAACGTGGTCAATTTCTGGTGACCGACCGAACCCACCCGCGACGAGCATATCAGACTCCGAACATACTTCGCTAGTATCCTTCGCTTGCGTATATTTTTGTGTCTTCAATCCCGTTTGCATGATTGTCCTCGTAAATACTTCGGCGATAGAGGACCAAACTGTGAAGGTCGGCTCGAAGACCAAATGTGAAGGTCGGCTCGAAGACCAAATGTGAAAGTCGGCTTGAAGACCAAAATGTAAAGGTCGGCTCGAAGGACCAAATGTGAAGGATGGAGATCAAGATGACGAGCAAAAAGTAAAATGGCACCGTTGTAGTATGTAGAATATTTTTGTATTAAATTGACTTATGTCATATAAAAACAATATAATATTATAAAAAATCAAACAATAAAAAAGGTATAAAAATAGTTTGCAACAGAAGGAGATATAGAAGATCGAGCATTTGATTTAATTATGACATTATTTAAATTTGTAAAGGAACCTGCTGTTAATATTGGCATGTATTTATCCAAACTAAGGAATGTATGGCGAGATCTCTCCCTTGAAATGGAGAAAGAAAGAGTCAAGGAACTACCAGACATCTTTCTTATAGGTAAAGCTTTAGTTACCAAATGGACGTAAAGCTATATCCAGTAAATGGGTTTACAAAATTAAGCGAAACTCTAATGGGTCTACTGACAAATATAAAGCTAGACTTGTTGCTGTTGGGTACTCTCAAAAGAAAGGGGTCGATTATGAAAAAACATTTAGTCCCGTTGCAAAAATGAGCACTATCAGAACACTATTAAGCATTGCTGCTCATGATAACATGATACTCACCCAATTTGACGTCTCTACAGCATTTCTTTATAGAAGCCTAAAAGAAGAAATTTATGTAAAGCAACCTGAAGGGTATGATAATGGAACTAATAACGTATGCAAATATAAAGTATACTAATAAGTATGAAACGTAGCCTATACGGACTAAAACAAGCTCCATTGTACTGGAACAACTGTATTAAAAACTTCCTTATAGAAAAAGGGTATGTACCTGGAAAAGACCCTTGTTTCTTCTCTATGAAGAGTGGAGAAGGTAGACAACTATTAGCCCTTTATGTTGACGATGGCTTGATAGCTAGTACATCACAAGAGCTGACTAATGAGTTCCTTGAGGTGATAAAGAAACGGTTTAAGATTAAAATCCAAACTAACACAAATTCTTATTATTTTATAGGGCTTGAAATAGAAAAGAAGTCTAATTGTATTAAAGTACATCAAGGTACATGAAGAAGGTATTAGAAAGATTTGGTATGCAGAACAGTAAAACTGTTGTTACAAAAATAGTGAAAGACAGACTTTTTTATTTATTAAATACTACTTTAAACTCTTTTTAAATAATCTAATTAAGAGAAGAAGATGGGGATAACACATTTCCTTATAGTGAAGCCCTTGCATATCTTATGCTAGGAACGTGACTTGACATTGCTTATGCGGTAGGTGTTTTTTTTTGGATGATAATGGAATGGTGCACCCACCTGCGCTTACGGTTTACGCTGGTGGGGCACCAGTGGAGGATGATAAGATGAGCATGAGGTTAGGTCAGTTAGCCCATCGTGACAAATTCAACAAGAATTTATCCGGTAGGTATTGTATCCAGACACTTAGAAGCTCCTACAAAAGCAGACATTACAATACTGAAACGAATATTTCGTTATTTAAATGGTCCAAGGGATTACCATATCACATACAGCCAAGATACGCAGAAAGAATGAATCTGTTATACCGATGCTGATCATGGTGGAGATCCTAGATTCTGGAAGATCGACTTCAGGCCTGGTATGTATTTACGGAGGTCCAATATCATAGAGAAGTCAACTACAGTCGTCGGTATCAATCTCTAGCACTGAAGCTGAAATAATAGCCGCAAGTGAAGCTGCTAGAGAAATAATATGGATTAAACGATTTATTGAAAATATAGAGCAATCATCAAAGATTCCTGTTCTTATTAGACAATGAATCAGCCATAAAACTTGCACTAAATCCACCCTATGAGTTCCATAACAGAACCAAGCATATTAAGCTAAGACATTTCTTCATACGAAAAGCCATAGCTCAAGGAGTTATGAAAATTGCTAAAGTTGGTACTAAATTCCAAATTGCAGATATGTTCACCAAAGCTTTATAGGTACAAACCAAGATTGACAATGCTATACCGTCTGATTGGTTTACATGCATAGATTCAAGATTTCTCTTCACAGGAAAGGAACCGTCACTTCAAGAGAAGATATTAGTTTGTACCATCTAGAATAGATACGTAAAGTGGTTCCTTACAGGCCATTTAAATTTGTTAATATAAAAAATAATGTACTTATGATTTTTAATGTCACTCAATAATAAATTACGATTATGTCTGTTTGCATATTTGAATGATCTTTCCTAAACTCTTTATTTACGGACTATATATATTTTAAAAGTTCCAACTAAATTTAGGAGTTGGAATCATTAATTTATGGTAAAAACTACTTCTTAATCAAGAAATAGTTTTTACCGTAAATTAATGATAAAAAACGTACAAAATTAAAATGGATTGTTTCTTTATACTCGATTCCACAACGCAATTTTGCATGCGTGTATAATATTAAGTGGAATAATATGACGTGTAAATTAACACGTCTCTAACTATTCTAATTGCACTATTTAATCTTTACTGTTGTAAACGAGGATTAGTCTGAAGCTTAACTTCTTATTGTATTTCTGTTTAGTTTTAGTTCGACTAAGATAAACTCCGATATGTTGGTGAAACTGAAGTTTGATATTCAATGTGGATTTTATTTTAATGCATAGTTCATACAGACGTAACTTCATGATGCAGACAGTAATACAGTAGATTGTAAACTACTCTGTGCAGTGGACAGCAGACAGCCAGTCTGACATTATTTGCTTCACCGGTGTCGATGAATTATTTTATTATTTTATCTATATTCTATTACATTTATTTTAATGGTTTAAAAATTTATAAATTTATAGAATGTTTACCTTCTTCAAGAAACTGCAATATTAATTGTTACCATGAGAGGTATGTAATGCTACTAATTTTAAATATATAATACTAACTACACGTCACTATTTGTTTATGTTGTTCAATTTAAATTCAAACCAATTTAAATAAAACCAGTGAACTCAGCAAATGTAAATATTATTTATGATTACAGCAGCTCTTTTACTGGGTCGATAGACAGAAACAAATGCAATGGGTTGTATAGAAAAAAAATACCTGTAATAAATAATTCTAATTAACATAATAATGTATATGACATTAATAATCTACGTGATCAAATAATCCCTTATCTAGTGTTGTATAGATTATATATTTGTACAATTTAATTGTATAGATTATGTTATAGATTATTGTATATATTGAATTGAAAGGTGCTGAGTTTCTTACTAGTATTCAATTTTATATTGTTAGTTGTTGAACTTGTCTATTGTTCTTATAGAGTTATAATTTGTTTATTCAATATATAAATAACATAAAGTAAAGTAGCAATTTAGCAAGTTAGTAGTAGTAGTAAAGTAAATCTGGTTTGTTGATGTTTACTATAAGACGGAAATTAGTCCATGATTAAACATATGTCCATTTAGGACAAAAGTTTTTCTTGGAGATAGAATTATTCTCAGCCCTTTCATTATTATATTACTTTTGTTGTACATTTTCAATGTATACATATAGTTTTCTTCATTCAAAAATACAAGGTATCCTTTTTTCTGTGTTGGTTATTACAAGCGACTATGTCCTTGCCAGCAACCATAAATTATAAATATGTGTATCTTGTTTTGTATACTTCTTTTAAAACATTTACTTTTCCTTTCCGCTATTCCGCTATTCTCATTATCTCTGTAGTATTTAACTTCAACAATTTCTACATTTTAGTGTAATGTTTATAATATATTTTTTACTTAAGTTTATGACATTATATACTAAAATACATCTGCTTTTTTTAATAATAATAATAATAACCATTACAATTCGTACAGTACCATCTATTGCCAGGCTAAACAGATCTTGTGTTATAGGTTCTAGAACTCTGATAGATTTATTTAGTATACATACATAATACAATAAAACCCAGGCCAATTCTAACAATCAAACTCATAATGAAATTACAAATGTTATCATTGTGTGAGTAATTAAATTCACAACCATTGGAAGTAAGGTAATGAATGAGCTAATCTGCTACACCACAAAGGCTGGTAGTAAATATATGTATATCTATTCTAATTCTTAAATATTTGTATTCATTTACAGTTGCTGATTAATATTGTCACAGTATAGATGTGGCACAGAGGCTAATGAAAAATGTTCAAAATAGAGTCATATGTGACTCCTATACTACTCAGTTATGTGGACAAATATGTGCGAGATTTCAAACCAGCTGATGCACAGGTGAGAGCCATGAACAATATTGTAATAATTTATATTTATAATCTTTATTATTCATTATATACATATTCTGACACCCTCAACATGTGAGGATGTCAGAATATATACCTTATTTTATTTTATTATAATAAAATAGTAGTCCTAAACAATTCACACAGTGCCCGTCACATGGTAAGCAGACTAGATAAGTGATAGTAATATTTAGATACTTTTCTTTTCTAAATTGCTATTAAAATCTGGTACCTTATATCTTTATCTAGAGACTTTAAACAGCTTTCCTTCACACACATGTACATTAATCTCGAAAACGGTTTAAACTATTTATGTATTACAGCAAGATTTAAACTTCAATTAATGTTTGTTTCAGTTCAAAAAAAAAAGTTATAAACTATTGTTATCTTAAATATGTACATGAAGTAGTGGGAAGAGTTTGGTATTATTATGCATAATTTAATTAATATCGACAGGTGTCACTATGGGGCGGTGGGGTGGCGCTTCACAATCTGGTCCTCAAGGCAGATGTACTACAGCAAGAAGTCGCATTACCATTCACACTTGTCTCTGGTCGCATCCATGAGCTCCTCATACAGGTGCCATGGACGAAGATTATGTCAGAACCCATTGTGGTTACAATAGACACAATTGGTGAGTTGGTCAGTTGTAATGTTAATGCACATTTAAAAAATAGAAACATTAGGCAGTGAAATTTCAGGAGTGTGACATCTCAGACCTCTGCAATGACATACAGGTCTGAGATGTATATGTGGTATAATGGGTGCCACATGATAATATGATGTATATATAATATATGAATAGCACAATGGTTATCACTTAATCTCAGGTGTGTATCACCTTCTTTGCCATTCCAGTTACCTAAAAAAGTTTAGGTGTAGATTATGCCGTTAGCAGTAGATCAAAAGCTAGCTAGGGCTATTATTATTACTATTTGTATGCTATAGATTATACACTTAGAAATAGACTGTAAAAAGTGACTATGGATACATCAGTTTATTTCAGCCGCAGCTGTAATTATGAGCAAAACCCAAGTTCCTTTCCCGATCTTCTTGTGAAAAGTCTGTGTTCCAAATGAGTAATAGAATAAAAAAAATACTCTTTAAAAGTTAGATTATTTCTATTCTATTCTGTGTCTCGATTTTAGGGTGCGATTAGGCACTAAATTAAAGGATACTAGACATGACATCTTTGGTCTCTGGAATGATAACGCGTGAGTAATATCACAACTGTAACATGATAACATAATGTCCGTATTGCTACCTTCTGGTGGGCTGACAGCTTGATTCCCATTCAATTTATATAAAAGAAAGTTATATTAGACCCATCTCAAGCTTAATAAATGAGGTTAATTAGTATTGGTTAATGTATATATTTTGTTTCAGAGTGCGTCTTAAGTTTGAATCCACCGCCTACTACTGATGAAAGCCCACCTCCAGAGTCACCCAGGTCGGTAATAAATATTATACTATAAATTAGTAGATTTATAAGTCATTAATTATAAATGGATATATATTTGTCATACAATTTGTAAGGGGATTAACAAACTGAAATAATTCCTATTTGTGTTAATACTTATACAAAATTGGTCCAATATTTATCATTTTAGTTACACTAGAAATATTACCAAAGTATTGAGTAGAGTTGAATTTAGTATATCCTGCTGAATCCTGTACTTAGTGCCTTACATAGTCTTTGTATGTTACTTCCAATAGTTCTCATAAAATAAATAGATATTTTTTTGTATATATATATATACATAATATCATAGAAAACATCCAGACCAATATAAACAATCATGAATATAATTATTTGCACATTGCGAGAAATCGAAGCCGCGACCATCGGTAGTAAAGCAGTGTACTAAACCGCTAGACAACCGAGACCGTCAACTAACCATTTAATATATTAGATGTAACTAATTACCCATTGTCAGCAGTCGCAAGACGCAGGTGGTGGAGGCGCCCCCTGGGTATATGCAGGCGTTGGTGCGGCGCATCGTCAGCAACATAGCGCTCCGTGTGCACCACCTTATTGTTAAGTACGTGCAGGATGACATCGTGCTGTCGCTCAACGTCAAGCACCTGGCAGTCGACAGCGCTGGTAGCAACTGGGAACCGGCATTCGCAGGTAAACACCATCTAACGATACTGACGTCATAGCGCAATTGTTTATTCCATTCGAGTGACAGTCCTGAAGGCATCGTAATAATTGGAGGATGATATATTTAATGAAGTCAAACCGTTACCGCAAAGGAATATTCCATTATCAGCCATAAATGATGTAATGGAATGGCAGCCCAAATAATATTATGTGTATTGTAAATAGCACCTTTATATAGATGTTATGTTGAACACAACATTTGACATATTCACATGAAACTGTACATACAACGTGGTTCGCGGGCTCGCGCCGTTTCTGACGTGAGATTACGACTCGGTTTGTCCAGTGCTTAGTAGACAATATTTAGCTTGTCTTACTAGACTTAATTACAAATATTGCTGATATGATTGTCTTATAGTGTCTAGGTAACTGTGTCTTATATATTAATATTATTTCTATTGGTAATCCAGATATAGAACCAAATGAGCCGGTGATTAGGCGGCTGGTAAGATTGGACGATCTGACACTGTGCCTCGACCGTGCCGATTCTGATGGTAAAATACGCTTCTACCAAGAGCCATTGTTGTACAGGTGTCAGCTGGATCTCAGGTTAGTTGATTTTTTATAAATTTATATTATTTTTTAATGAATTTGGAATTGCAAACATGCTGACAGTCCCCCTGATGGTAAATGGTTACCATAGCCTATGGACGTCTGAGACACCAGGGGATTTAGGTACCGGGGTACGCCTAGCAGATGACTTTTTACAGTCTACATCAGCATAATTATATTGTTGTGTACCCCGACTTTAAACAGGTGTGGTAATGTAGAAAATTACACTATTCTATATCTGACATTCTTCCCTACAGACATTGTTGTTGATATTAACAAATCTTCAAATAACTATTAAAAATGAATAATATTTTTATAAGAGGGAAAGCTAAGGGCGGATAGATTTAAAGCGGCTCCTTATGTGGACGAGTGCAACAGTGCTCCTACACCGGCGGCGGTTAATCACGGTTATTCTAGCTCACTAAAACATCTGTTCCTCTTACAGCAAGGTGTTTTAGTGTGTTGGAATTCTATAATATCGGTCTGCACCCCTTCATAAAAGTGGATGATTCTGTATGAACTTTTCTTCTCGTAAAAAACAGGGTGTTAACGCGGCTGGTGTCTGCCAGCACCCGGCGAGCCAGCAGCCTGGGCGTGCAGGTGCGGTCGTCGCGCCTCGCGTGGGGCGTCACCGGCGAGCAGCTAGTGCTGCTGCTGCGTTTGCTGCGGGAACGCCCCGCCGATAACACACAACCGCCGCCCGCGCCGAAACTGAACGTCGTACAGTCTACACCGTTACGTTAGTATCTAAGTCATTCATTTGAAAGATTCTCTGTCTATCTGTCAACAAGAAGGTCTACTAGCAGACCCACCATATGTTGTTTTGCCATATAAATTGAGGTACTATTATCACTAAATAAAATAGTGGTTGGTGCTAGAGGGGTGAAAATTTAGGAGTGTATTTTTGTATTCTCAGACCTACTAAGTTAAATTTCCATATAAAATTTCACCAAAATCGGTTAAGCCATTTCGGAGGAGTATTGCCATTCTCCGCCGAAATGGCTACTACTACTTACCCTGTGACACATGACTATATTATTATATTTTAACTCTAATGTATTAGTGCTATATGAGTGTTTTTATTCACATATTGTACGCACGCAATTTTTTTACAACTTTTCTTGTGATGACACAGTGTTTCAAATGATCTGTAGATTCAAAAAATAATTATGACTATTCAAAAGAGCATAAATTTAAGTTTCCTTGAATAAAGAATATAATGAATGAATAATATTCTATTCTACTCATATAGAGTCCTTTATATACCAAGAGATATATGGTAGCTACTCGAAATATTTATAGAGGATTGACTAACATAGGCAAGTTTTTTAACATATATTTTTGGGGCAAACCAAGTTATAAACCAAGGAGGTCATAATTATATGTAGTGTAAATTTATCCAATATTTTCTTGATTTCTGTAGATGTGACGGCATCGAAGTCAGCGGAGCCCGCACGACAGGGGAGCTGGTCGGAGTGGGCGTGGTCATGGCTGCCCACGTGGATCGATCGCGAGGGTGTGGAGGAGGCGCCTCTGCCTGCTACACCCACACCCATATTCCTCACCGCTTATTTGGATGACATCTCGTTTGTTTTTAAGGTTGGTTATACAACTTACTATAAAACTGGGACGGCCTCCTATACCGATTTAGCACACCATCCTACTTCCGATGGTCGCAGTTCGATTCCTCGCATGGTAAAAATATTTCTGTTCATCATGATTTTTTGTATTGGTTTGGGTGTATTCTGTGTTATGTATGTATTTACACATAATGTATCTAGTATTTATTACAGTTGTCATAGTATTTACCCATAAAGCAATCTCAGCTTAACTTGGAATTATATAGTACTATGTGATTTGTTGTGAGATATTATTAGTATTAATAATATTATATGTATTAAATGTTTACCCGAAGTAGACTATAAAAAGACATCTGCTTGGGGTACCTTAGTCTCTAATCCCACAACCAGCTCGCATTGTAATATGAGTTCCGACTGTAGGAAGCAAATTAGGCAGTAACTACAGAATAAGAGGAATGGTCCCTTCAGAGTCGATATGAACCTACTCACGAATACAAAACTTTGTAACATGCTAGGAATTCAACCCGCCACCATCAGACATAAGACTATGTGCTAATGAGCCAGATTACTGAGGCCATCATACAAGTCCATTAAATATTATATTCATAGTCTCAGCACTGTCCAGTAATAAACTAACAAGTAGAGTTTATACTATGGGTAATAAATGACAGCTATAAATATTTGCATACATTTGTTTAAATAAAATACATTTGTCTAATATAAGTGACACAGACATGGATTCTAAGATTATTGGAAGGTGACAGAGTGTATTTAAACTTATTTGGCACTTTTGGCATTTAAATGTGGCACCCGCATACGCTAACGGTTTACGTTGGCGGGGCACCAGTGCAGAATTTTAAGAGGAGCAATGAAGTTAGGTCACTTGGCACTGGAAATTTACTACGATGGTTCCAGGGAAAACCGCGAAAACGTTGCCCTCACATTGTACTTTGCTAGTAATGAGATTAGTAGTCCCAATTACTAACAATCCTCTTCCACTGTAATTAATAATTAGGATACTAATGTTGTCTTAAAATTAATATTAATGTATAATATTTATCGCATTGTATTCTTAAAAGATTACCTACACGGAGAAGTTGTACTACCGAGTCTGCTTATGGAATTCAGTTGAATGATTCCAAATATCTTTATTAATTTAGGTTTATTACCAACTTATGATATGTCAAATAAAATCTATCGTACCTTGGGAGTGCTTTCGTGCTAAGAAAAACCGACAAGAAACTCTACTCTAATTCTTTTCAAATGATTGTTTACTTGTTTATAAAACTACATATTCATTTTTAAATTCAAATTAGGGAGAATAGAGTAACGCTTAGCATACACTATTGCCATTTTGTCAAAAGTAAATAATCTCATAAGTAGCCGTAACCCGAAGTTAGTGATTACCAGTACCAGTGTTCCATGTGCACTATAATTTTATTTCAGGTTATGGAAGCAGACAGTAGTACAAAGAAACGCGCACGCGGTGTCCTCGAGTTGAGCGCGTCTCACGCCGCGATCAAGAGCAGTATGTGTGCCCCGACTGTATTCCGCATGCGCTTGGCTGCGCGCGCACTCACACTCAGCTCGCACGGCAGGTGTACGTGCGGACACCAGGATTCAGCTGTGAGTCTTCTGCTAGTCTTTCATTACACATACTTATACACTATTCACATTTACGAATAGTTTATTTTACAAAAGGAGACACAATACAAGTGAGCGACCCTTTTTGGTCTATATAAACCTGAAGTATGATGAGCCCGCTGTTCCTCAGTATATTAACATCGGCCTTGTGTTATAACAAAAAAAGTATTTTTGTACCAACACAATACAATGTTTAAAATCAACACTACACACAGCACACCGCCTTACTTTCAATGGTCGCGGGTTCGATTCCTCGCACGGCACAATAATGTGTATTCATGAGTATGATTGTTTGTATCCATCTGGGTGTTTTCTATGTATAATATGCATGTATTTACGAAAAAAATATATCTATGTATTTGTATCAGTTATCTAGTACCCATAACACAAGCTTTAGCTAGCTTAACTTGTGTCTAGACGGCGCTGTGTTAATTGTTCTGAGATTATTTATTGATTTACTTAAAATATTGTGTTTTTTATTCCAATTACTTTGAAAGAAGAAATAAACAAGTATGAAGTCTAGTTATTTCATATACAACTGGTACAAAGTTATAAACTCGGCTGGTTATTATATGTTTTTACTGTACCTACATCTTGCTGAAATATTCCTTTATCGTTGATTAAAACTTACTAAATAGTATAAAATGAATAAGCCATCCGCGTGTATTGAAATTAAATTATTTATTTACTCGAGCACACGATCCATAATGAGGTTTTATAAACATTTAGAATATCTTACTTCTGCCAATAAAATTTTAAATGTCATGTAATATATTAAATCCTCTATTATTTCTTCTGGCTACTGAACATCACTCTAATTTATAATACATTCATTATCATTAATATCATACATTATCGGACAGACATTCTAAATGTTGTTAATGTTATTTTAATATAACTCAATGATCGCTTTGAAAGTGTGAAATCGCGGCCCGGTATTAATATAATGTATGTATTCAACTGAATGAAACCGGTAGGGGCCACTATTATTCTGTATTTTGATTAAAATGCAATATATTCTTTGTTTGGACCTGGTCTGGTCTGCTTGCCCAACCTGGGGTGCACGATCAAGGTCGCTGCGCACTATTAAAAGGGTTCGAATATTGTTCAACCGAAATCATTTCACGGCGGCCACCGAGGACGACGGACGTTCTCGGTGGTCGCCTCTATTTTCTTGTTTTCTTTACTTTTCATTATTCATTCTTTATCTCAATTTTACAAATTAGCTGACTGTCTGTTTTTTTTTTTTGAGATTAAAGATTTGTCTTCAGCAGTGTAAGCATCAACTTTAAACCTGAAAAGGTAACAGGACAAACAGATATTACAGTCCGTAAGCCCTTTATGTAACAGTCCGATAGTTTAGGAGGCTATATGTGTAGTTTAAAATATAATAATCATACTTTTTATGTTTTGTTGTTGCAGAATAAAGAAGAGCCAATAATATATCTATGTAAAAGTCAAACCGATGAGGAAGATGGAGCGTGGAGCTGGCCAGAGGAAGATATGTACGATGGCAAGGTGGAGACGGCTGAGGCAGTAGATGAGGGCTATCAGGAATCGCCTGAGCACACCTCGGTGAGAGAAATACAGTATCCTCAGAGAAACCTATTCTTGAACGCCACCTCTAATATTCTATGTATTAGTCTGTATTCATTTGTTTTACATACTTCTGTTTTTTCCCGCTCGGTTTTTCTCTCTCGTATACATCGCCTTACTTTTCGCTGACCGTTACGTTTCACACTGCAACAACGTAACTAATCCCACATTAGTATAGATTTTTATTTTCGACATTCTAATGTCATAAACAATGTACTCCATTTATTCATAATTTAAAAGAACTATGTCCGCTGGCAGGTCACTTCCCACGATCTTCCGTCAGTATTTTTAAATGTTGACAAACAACTCTAATTTATTTGTTATTCTGCTTGATATAATGCTATGTCTTGGTCTTCCTCTTCACATCATTCTTTCTATATTTTCTCATGCTGTTTTAAGTATCCCAACAGTTTCCCCGTCTTTTATCAATGGTGTTTATGGTCTATCTCTTTCTCATTAACTATTTGTAGTACTTTATCGTTTCTTACATTATTTTTTCAACAAATTTTTCCATCCTTCTCCAACACCACATTTCAATAGCTTTTAATTTGACCCTTTCCATTTAAATTAATGTTCATATCTCATCGTAATATCGTCATATCAACATCATAAGTAGTTTTCGAAAGGTCTGTAACATAGTAAGACCCAAAAGGTGCATATATATCATTTAATGATTTTTTTGCCATAGCTATTCTCATTGTATTGTAGCTATCACATTATAGTACATCTGGATTAGTAAATAGTATACTATATCTTTTTGACAAATGAGGTGATGGCCCACCTGATGATAAACAATAATCGTTGTCTATGTACATAAGCACCAACACGGACATCATGTTATCATGGACACCTCTCGTGTGTTGTTATCATGAAATCTGTGTCATAACTGGATAAGATCTAGTGATGTGATGGATTTCACTGCCTAATCGATATTCTACAACTGAAACATGGCTTACAAAGCAGTTGATAATAGATTTTTATTGCGATATACGTCTTATACCCAGACACATTGATATTATATATATTTTATTACTTGTTTAAACATGTCAGTTTTTTAATTAATTCTTTTTATTATACTTGCAATATATAATTTTTTATATACTTATGTATTGTAATTATATTAAAGCAATATATTTGTAATATCCATTTGATTTGATCATGCAGTCTCAGTTCCGATCTATGGCGGAACCAGCACACGAATCACAGCCGCTAGAACAGATCAGAATACCTGACAGACAAGAACCTGATGAAGATAACGATTTCTGGCACAAAATGGCGCCCGTGCTAAGCGTGGACTACAACCACGAGAGGTCGTCACCGCAATTACACACCAACCCTTATGACAACCCGCCACTAGATTTTCAGTATAGGTAAGTGTTGTTGTATGTCATAATATTTATTAGACAATAAATCGTTCGGTATACAAAAATATATATAAAAATTCATACTAAAAAATAGAATGTGAATATGAACTATAAAAGTATATGGCTAGTATGTCTGCTACACTAAGTTTGTACGTTGGTCCTAGCATATAGTCTAGACTCGGTAGTCTAGTTTTTGTGAACAATCGGAAAGCCATTAGCCACTAAAAGTACAAAGTTTTGTTTTCTATCTATAAACATTCATAGACATGTCACAGATAAACAAAAGCCAGGCAAAAATAATTATTAATATTTCTTAAGACAAACGCGAATCGTCGGGTATTAATAAATAAATTCACGGGGTATAGGAAATAAAAGTGTTGTTGTCTCAACACACAAATTGACCACTGGAATAGTCACTAAACCTACCTAATTAGTTAGCTATATGTAACACTAAACAAGCTAAGTAGTTACAGCAGTATCCCAAAAAGACAGCATATATAATAATAATAATAATAATAATAATAATAATAATCTCAGGACAATTCACACAGCGCCATCTAGACCCAAGTTAAGCTAGCTAAAGCTTGTGTTATGGGTACTAGATAACTGATACGAATACATAGATATTTTTTTTTTGTAAATACATACATATTATACATAGAAAACACCCAGACCGATACAAACAATCATACTCATGAATACAAATGTTTGTGCCGTGCGAGGAATCGAACCCGCGACCATCGGTCGTAAAGCGGTGTGCTAGACCACTAGACCACCGAGGTCGTCAATATAATAATAAAATAAATATATACATTATAATGAGTCGTTGCTTACGTATGGTACCTCGTCTACAATATTTTGATCGCCATGCAAATTTAATTACAAATTGTATTCTAGTGTATACATACTAGTTACTGTGTACCAGTCCTACTCATCTGTAGTAGCTAGCTGGACTGGAACTGGACAGTAGGGATAGTAAAAAACGCAGGCACGTCATGGGCACAAAATGTCATATGTTAATAAAAAATTTTGAAAGGCTGTAAAGTGTAATACGTACTGCATTTTATAAAATTTTATAGGTGGCGATATAAACAAACAAGTGCATGCGTTCAACACATTAAACTTAATTTCACATTATCGTCACATGACAGATACTTACTCTACCGCCAAATATACATTTTTCATTAGGTGGACCCACAGTTCATATAATTAATAACACTCCATATGTATATAGTGACTGGGTGGAGTCGTCCAATATGCGAATCGTGTTGGAACCAGTCAAGTTTCGCCTCTGCATGGGACTTATACACCGGTTGAATGCTGTAAATATTATATTCAAGGAACTCCCACCAGTGCCGCAAGCGGGTAAGAATTTTCTGTTTTTCAGTATTGATATTTTCAAATCTAAATATGAATGTGTAATACTAGGTGTATTATGAATAGATATTCATGTACGTCTATTACACACTTGTATATGTAAAATCTACCGACAATTCGGAGTACTTTCGTGCTAAATAATGAAAAGATACTCAGCTCTTATTCTTTTCAAATGAGCTTGTACATGATTCCAAAAACCCATATTTATTTTTAGATTTAATTAGAGAGTATTGTGTGACCACCAGTTTTTGCTATTTAATTTTTTAAAAAGGACCCAGGAAAATTCACCTAAACTGCATCTAATCCCAAGCAAAGCAGGCTCGTGTTACTGCTTTTTTTTAAATACATATACACTCGCGAACAACCAAATCGACTCAAGCACTCTGCTCTACATTCAAACGTTGTTCTAAATAAAAGTCGGCATGGTCTTCTCACACTAGAAGATAGACGTAAAGTAAAGTATATGTGTCTACTTCACGATATCGTACGTGGTCGTTTTGACTGCGAGGAGCTGGTAGCTGCCGTGTCTTACCGTACACCGTCGCGCCGCACACGGCACACCCCGCTTTTGGCAGTACCTCGCCGTGCCTTAAACTATGCAACTAACTCACCCCTCGCTAGAATTCCTCGTGTATACAATAACGAATTTCATGACGTGGACTTGTTTTTTCACACAAAAGGCACATTTAAAAAGCACATTGTTAAATATATAAGTGACAGCTACGAAGCGATAGTCTAGTATCTATAATATGCACACTGCATACATTGTATGGACAAATTATCGGCATCAGTGTGTAGTATATATTATATGGAGATGTATAGCTTCCACACTCATTCATTCAATCATTTATTTAATTAATTTTTTTTTTTATGTGTTCAGTTTATTTCTTTGATTTCCTATTTTGTTATTTTGTTTTAGCGCAAGCCAATACTACATACTTTGTGTTAATTAAGTGAAACCTATAGTAGCTTTAATTTTACAACATAAGTTAATGTAAATAAAATTGTAACGCTGATTGTAATATTCCATTTGAAAGTTTGAAACTTCAGCTTTTATGAGATGACATCTCATAAAAATTGAATTTTCAAGCTTTACTTGAGTCGTTTGGTTGCTCGCGAGTTTATAATGTACATAGAAAACACCCAGACTAATACAAACAAATTGTTTCTAACGAATACAATGTTTACATCCTGAAAGAAACGATCCCGCGACCATCGGAAGCAAAGCGGTGTGCTATATGGCTAGACCACCGAGACCGTGAATCTATCCCCAGCTCTCAGCTCAGCTGTTGGTTGACCTATATCTTGTGTTTCTGTCAAATATCCTTAAGAATTTGTAATATGAGAAATTGTTAAGAATTTTTTAAAATTATTGTCTATAATTTTTTTCAGATTTACCGATGCGTGTATTAACGGTGGAAGAGTGCGAAGCCCTATCCGACAACCTGCCTCAACGGCGGATTAATATAGAAGCGAGAGGACTACAAGTACGTGTCCACCCGTGGGATCACTCGCCCCACGATCGTCCCATGACAAAACCCATTGTACTAGATCTGGAACTGCCAAACACTACCATTGGGATCAATGGACCTTTATATCCACACAGGTAAAGTTGATTTTGAAAAGACTCAATTAATCTCATGCTTTAGACTCTAGCCTGTTTTGATTTGTGGATTAAATTAGATACAAATCACTTGTGCGCATGATAAATATATCTAAGATACAAATGACATTAAGTAACTCCGTATCTATACATGTTGTTGACACTCTGTAAAGAAATATGAGCGTTCGAAACGTGACCCGTAAGAATTTTTGTCAGCTAAAATAGTTGAGATATGCTACTCAGTATGAAATAGGAACTCACACAGACGAATCTATATAAAGTATACCTCGGTACAATGATCAGCAGCATATACAAAATAAACCCTATAACAAATTATTATATGCAGAAACTTTGTCTTCCTTGTTGTTTATATTTTTTTGACTGAACTGATCTGTTTACGGCATATGCCTGATGGCCTGGATGCCTATCACTACACTGCACTATTCCTTGAATTTTAAAACGAATCCGTATTAAGAGTTGAGTTTTTGACAGTTTTTCTTAGCTCGAAAGCACTCTGAACTGACACATATAAGAGTTTTTAATAGACCTTAGAAGATATTTTGATTTGATTTGTTCTGGCCAGGGTCTGCTCCGCTGCATGCCAGATGCCCGAGGATAGCGGTCCGCTGTGGCAGGGTGCTCGTCTGCACATATCCGCATCAGTAACGTCACTAGAAGCGCGCATAAACTCTCTAGCAGAATCTCAGCGCCGGCCTTGCGCGCACGCAGACTTGCGCATACTCCTACATATACTGCTGAATAAAGAATTCTTTACGAAACGGGAGAGCGTTCAATTTAGTTATTCATTAAAAATACGTGAGTATCTTGCAGCCACATCTCTATCTATTACTGTATACAGGGTTAGTAGCAAAGTGATAAACTTTTGAAACCATATAATTTGAAGTGTATTTTTATTGTACTCTATTACGCGTATATATCTTTTGTTATTACCATTCGTTTTTTAAAGACCCTAGTATCCGTTAAGTCATTTCTTCAATAATCAACAAATAACAGTACATGTAACTTATTTCTCCCACAAATGTTTTTAAGCACTGAAAATTACGAGTTTTCGAAAAACGATAACGCGTCAGCACTTAGTACCAACAAACGACTGCGACCTCACAATTTGTTTTCTTTATAAAAGTTGTGTTGCCAACTTACAAACCAAAAACATAATCATGATTAAGAATGAACACCATTTGTCTATTGTATATATACTGCAGGTGAAGCAAAATTGTGCGGGTCGTCTGCACGGCTGCAGGCTGCGTACCTCGTGCCCGTCTCGCTCATTCGGCAGACGGCTTCCACCGCACTACGGTACACTTCGCTCGCAAAGGACGCATTACACGATTCCGGTAAATTCATATCATTACCATAATACCATTAGTCACAGTGTTAGTTGCCATAGTTCTCGAACACCGCTTAATCGATTTTAATCATATTTGATATGTATGCCATACTTCCTAGATCTGAGATTCGGTTGTTATATATTTTGTATAAGTGATAAGGCAATATTTACTATTTTAGGGTGATAATCGAGAAGCAAGGTTTGTTCATCAAATAATTTAATTCCGACTGAACCCTATTTGTCTAACCTATGCACTACCTCATTAATATAATCGAATTACAAATATCTACATAAATACACTACAGTTTGGATAAAACTTTTATTTTATTTGTGTGTATTAAAAATACTTTCCCTCCTAAATTTTCACCCTTCATTCATTCATTCTTCATTCACCACCAACCCCTATTTTTGAATAGTGATATTAATTTATATAGCAAAATAATATTTGGCGGGTCAGGGAGAAGCAGAATAGGCGATCAGTCCATTGCCGAAATAGTAGTACCGATCGCTGAATTGCATTACTTACGACTGTTACCTTAACTATCATACGTATATTTTCATAAATTATATCCAACTATTCATTACTGTTTCTGAAAATACCTCAGGAAACAAATATTGAACTCGAGTTTTTTAAAGTTTTGAAGGGTTTGAAAGTTTTAACTCATCACTTCGTCTCCACAGTCGACAACACTATCTCTATATAATGAAAACTCAGAGTAAATACTGTAAGCATGTAAAGTATACTAATGAAAAATAATTTTTTTGTTACAATACATAAAATACACGCACAGTAATACATATTTATTTGCAGGATAATGTATTGGTTTGACGTTACAGAGGCCGTGGCGATGGACCTGACGGTGGAGGAGGTGTCAATGCGCGGGTACACCACCCGTCACGTGAACACGCACATACTCTCCGTGCAGTCGGCCCGCGCAACCGCGCTTCATGCACCCAGTGAGTTATTCAAAGCTGCATGTCCCTAAACATTTTTATAGTAAGACGTTTTGTAAGGGAAGGGGCTCTATACAAAACGTGCTACTATGACAATAACTTATCGAACAGGATAAAATTTTGTCCATACGATAAAGCAACTAATATCAATGACTCACATTAGTCAGATTTTCTATAAACTATTATTTTTTAGAATTACATGTAACTGAAAGACTCGATTTTTATTAAATAAAGGACCCATTCGCATGTACAACAGACATTGGAATGATAGTGAATTTTCAGAATAAGTAAAAAAATATCCTTTATTATACTGTAAAAATAAGTAAATAATGAGTAGATCGGAACATAAATATTTACAGCAAAATTTCGCATGAAGTATTCCTATCGCGCTTAAGCGAGGGAAGACCCAAGATCTCTAAACAGAGATGAAATGAACTCTGAAGGTACCAACACACCATTTTCACATCAAATGCAACCCAATCCCCTGTCTTATTCCAATTGTGATGTTTTTGTTTATTTTCTGATGGCCGAATTTTATTAATTTTAGCCAAATAACTATTTAAAAACGATGTACAAACTGCCAGACCTAAGACGTTAGGTCTTAGGTCTGGCAGTTAAGGGTTAAGGGTTAAGACTTAAGGATTAAAAAATCCCCCTGTCCTAATTTTTATACCGCGTTAAGTAAGAGGAATGTGGATTTTTTCACTTTAAATAATATTATAGTTAACGCCATCTGGTGTTAAATATGAGAAATAATTGCTCTACGTACAACAAAGTTCAGTCTATGAATACCATGGCGATTAGATGGCGCTATTTACAATTTTTGTAGTAATATTATCTCATTTTACTTGTAGGATGTGAATTGTAAAAGAATCGAGTAAAAATAACATTTCTTATTTTTCAGAAGATGAAGATGTTAAACAGGCTTGGATCTTCTCTGCGCCGGACGTGCCAACGACGACGTAAGTTTTCTTATATTGATATTTCTAGTATCGGCAACGTGCACGTGACTCCCATGGTATTCCAGGCGACCATAGGCTACAGTAATAATTTACCATTAGAAAGGCTTTATCCTTGATTGTCACCATCGTAGTATGAAACGTGGAGGTAATGGTAAATAAGTTAACAACCCTCCTAGTAGATATACTATCTGTGCATAGATGCACTTTACTGATATGCGGCGAACGCTGTTAATATACTTCTAGCATCGCAGACGTTACGATACCCCTATGGTACTCCTCTATAGTAATTTCTTCGAACTAAGTCGCTAGTGCAACGCCTCTATAGCCTGTGATTTCAATCAATTTATCATATTTCATCTTTGAAATGATAACAAAGTTATTGCCTGAAGAAATATGTTAGGGAGAAGTATTATTTTAATTTATAATAATGGAATGGTACATTGTGCATGTGCCTGCGCTAAGGGTTTATGCTGGCGGAGTCAGTGTTGATAAGATGAGCCTATCATGGCTAATTCACCAGGGATTTATCATGTTTCCAGGGACAACCGCGTGGAGGTTCACCTAAGACTCCACTCCTTTTCATCGTAGCGTGATGTTATATAGCCTCCATAAATGGGCTATTAAATATTTTTTGTAATTGGTTCAATAGATCCAGGGATTACTTCTGCGATGTTACTAACTCACAATCATTACCTTATCATAATATTAGTGTTGATATACTACCCGAGTCTCAAATGAAATTAATAATTTGATTTCATATTTTGTTATCTGTGTCCTGTATGGTTTGGGAGATGGAGTTGTATTAACAACTAACAGCATATATTATAGATATAAAGTATTAGCTGACCTAACAGACATTGTCATGTCTTAACTTTCTTAATTTTTTGATGTGTAACATAGATAAATGGAAGAACACGCTGATCCCAATTGATATTGGAAAAGGAAAATCAGATTATGATGATGATGATCATATAGATGGTGTTGTTATATCCATAGCCTTATATAATGCTCACGAAATATCGCAGCCGCCACCGGAAATAAGGGTGTCATTCTGGTGGGGGCTGCGATTTTCGTACAAACAAAATATATCTATTCATCAGTATGTATGTGTTGACGGTTTCTGTGGTTAATCACACCGGTTGTCCTTACACGGTATAAACATTTGTATTCATGATTATTTGTATACGTCTGAGCGTTATCTATGTATATTATGTATGCATTTACAAAAAAAAGTATTTACTAGACAACAGTATACACATATGTCGTTGGCTAATACACATAGTTTGGGACTAAATGGTGATGTATTAATGTCCTATGTTTTTATTATTATTAAACAATTTAGTTGCCATAGTAAGAGTAATTATTATAATGCGCAGGCCGTACCTTCGTTTCGCTCTACAATGGTGCTCGCAGGCGATCCCTAACTCTTTGGACTACGTGGGAATGTGGACGGAACCCACTGCGGTAGCCATCGACCCGCTCTTCATCGCCTGGCTCGCATACAAACCGACCCTGAAATCTAATATAGGTAAAATGTTAATAACGTAACATATTTGTGCTTATCGTTAAGTTTTCATTATTGTAATGGTTATATAAAAACATAAACCATGTTAGATATCAAAAATATGTTTGTTATATAAGCTTTTCTGTGTCATCTCTTTTTTTGTGTCATCTTGTGGCCTCAACAAAAGGCGACTTTATTTCTTAAAGCTATTACTTACAGACAACCCTATATGCTTTTGAACCCTAAAGTTATCGTTGTAATTATAAAGCTTATTTTCGTAAACACATTCGAATATAATAATGTTTTTTTTTTTCAGAATCTCAGTCAACTGTATTCGCCACTAAAACGATTTCAACGCAATACTTTTTGAGACGTCGTGTCACTCCACCTGTAAGTAAAACTGTTCTATTTTTTTTATACTGCGATGCTGACGTATGCTTGATACGGCCCATCTGATGGTAAACGTTTACTCTGTCCTATGGACGCCTGAAACACCAGGCGTGTCCCTTGCGTCTTGCCTAACCATAAAGAACCGTTAAATGTTTTTCAAGAAGGGTTGAAAAACATAGTAAAAGTACAAATGCAATTGCGCTATGTACAGTTTAGTTCACTCTAGAAGTGCCATGGTGACTACGTGGCGTTAATTACAATATTTCTAATATAGTAGTCTGTAAATATTGGAACCTAAATCTCACTACCAATACGAGTTACATACGAGTCCATTAATATTAATAGAAAGGTTTAGTACTGTAAGTCTGAGTTAGAAGTAAAGTATTGTAACTGATTGCAGTCGTCGAGTGGTCGTGGCGCTAGCAGGGCAGGATCGGGAGGTGCAGAGTTAGTACATGTGAGGCCGCGGAGCGTGGGCTCCAGCAGCGAGCCCAGTGAGAAGAAGGAATCTAAAATACCACTACAGGTAACAAAAAAATTTGTTTTTTGAAGATTCCTTCTTCTGTGAATGTGTAAACGTTAAACGTTATTACTTTTAATTATGTTATTAATACTTTTATTGTCCGTGCCCTCTGACATTACTTCTTCCATGATTATTAAATAACTGTGATAAGGATCTATGTCCATCTTTATCCCATATGTATATGCCAAAATTTTAATGGGATGGTTTAGGTCTGAAAGCGTTTTAAACAAGCTCACTTAATAATAATATACATTTATGTAAATTTGACTGACAATATGAGGATCGAAGAGATCAGAGAGTATTTTTTTATGATAAGGTTGGGCTCAGGAACGAGTGTAAACTTTCCAAAGGAGATATTTCGTTGCATGGGTGGGCTACAACCACATACAATGTGTAGTGGCGTTTCTTCATTAGACCTAGATATTTTATATACAGATTTTCAGATATTGTGGCTATATATAATATATCGTATGCGTGTTCTAGTCAAAGACCGTGGAGCGATTGTGGAGTGGGGAGCGTCTGGTGCGCGCCCACGAGCGTCTCCGGCACATGATGGTGAGCGTGGAGCTGGGACTGGTGGTGGTGTACGTGACTACGCGTACAGCTTCCGCGCTTGACTGTGCCACGGTACGCGATGCGATGGACAGGCACGCTGAAGATGATCACCATGTCATCGCGTTCAGGTATTATTCGGATCCATAGTATTGACTACAATTGAGACCCACATATACACCGATGACCAACAGAATAATACATAATACATAGAGATTGATTGATTGTTAATGATATACATCATATCCCTTACACGATTACAGCTGCTAATACCGTCTCTGATAAAAGGTCGAATTCACGTCATCTAGTCTCGTTTCGCGCACATCACATAATAATATGACATACCGTACAATATTCAATGGGAAATGTCCGGAACAAATTCTTAGCGCATAAACAATATCTTCTCTATGACGGCATGTTGCACATATTTTTCAGTCTCGGTCGCCTGTCGATGCACTCGAGCTCCGTGACGAAGCACTTGTGGCAAGATATAAGACACGACGGACCCACATTTGTAATAAGGAACGTGGATTACAATCGTAAGTATAATAATGACCTTAGAATAATTTACACTGCGCCGTCTAGTCCCAAACTAAGCAAAGATTGTATTATGGGTAGTACACGACTGAAATAAGTTTTTTTTTTGTAAATGCATTAATAAAATACTGAATTGAAATAATACATTCACAAAAAAATTTTTTGAGTGTGTCTATTACTTATTTAATATACATATTACAATTCTGGCTTACCTTGAGACTAGATGACGCTGCTGCTACATTTTTCATTGCTGTTTCGCTCCTATTGGTAATTGCGTGATAGGCTAAAACACTCGGGGATAATATACCTTGCTAATTATTAGGAGAACCGGAGATTACCCCGAAGAAACAAACATACAACCCTTACTTCGTTATACTATTTGTATAGATAAGTTTAGTATTAATATTTATAAATTATTTTTTGCTTTAAAATAATAAAAATGCTCTTTAGTGGACGATGATGAATCATTCCCGTGGAAGATGAGGTTAGCTGATGTCTCGTGTTACACGCTGGCGGAACGGTCGGCTACTGAGGATGCCACCCGTGACAAAAACAAGGTTAGCGGGCTCCGCTCGCAGATCAAGATGACCGGCGTGACACCGAGGACAGTGCTCGAACTGGTCACCACCACCGTCACGTTGTCAGTCGTCACTAAGTCGCTACACATCAAGACAATGACCAAGAAGGAACATAAGAAACACGCCGAGCAGGCGGCGGAGGAAGAGGTGAGGTTTATTTGTTGACTAGCGACCCGCATGGCCTTTACTTGGGTACAATTGTAGCAATATCTATCTTATTTTAAAGCAATAGAAATATTCTAACGATTTTAAAATTAAGCAATTTTGTTGAGTTAACTATATAGTATAAGTTTCAAGTAAAACTTTATGAATACCCAATCAAATTAAATAAAAAATAATTTAAATATATTTACTGCTTATGATCGTCAAGTTTTTTGTATTTATATTTTTTCCCTACTGTTCACATGAATAGAATGAATCTGTATCCTACAGATTCATTCATTCAAAAAAGTACTGGCAGAAGTTTCTTTTTATTTACTCTTTTTTAAAAGCCAATTATTTACCTTATCTACATATATAGAGGTCTATGCCTAACATTAAATATAATGAATTATAATACACAGTACTTATTTCAGCATTATTTTCTTACAGAGAGTAAAATATTTTAAAAGTGGCATGGACTTCAAGCCAGCGACTCTGAAAGAGTTTGTTCGTGGACCAGCCAAGTATGTTATTAAAATTTTGTACATCTTTAGGATGATACACTTAAAGATCATATACACAACTATGATGAGTCAAATCTGCTGTCAGTTTGGAATATATAATAATTTGAACATTGAAGAACTAGTAAGAACCTGTATTAATGTAATAATACAGTTTCAGGTTTAAATAAATCTACAGGAGAAAGCAAAGGGCACATTGTAGGATCTGGTAGCTCTGATCACTATGACTGATTTGTTTTATTCACTCAAGTAACTATTTCATATTTTTGTGAGTTACTTGGCAGATGTATGTGTTCACACATAATCTTAAAATTGTAAATTTGTATAACTGTTTAAAACATCTTCAAGCAAATCTGTCGCTTAAACTGCATTCAAAACAAGCTGTAGAATACATAGATAGATAAATTCTTTATTCACTAATTACAAACACGTACCATACCTGAGGTACAAATAAGATAAATGCACAAATAAAAGATATTGAGGTGGATTTATATGCAGAAAATATGATTAGGCAACCAACTCTGAATAATACTCTACATATAAATCGGTAACGCTGATAATGTGTTGGCTCTTATACTTAAAAATATATATGTATCCTCGTTGATATGTGTGCATATAAAATGATTATTCATTAGTGATTATATATTACATTTATTTCAATAAACAGTATTTCAATTTCTAATAAATTAAATATTTTATTTCAGACGCAGAAAATCAAGCCCAGAGGTGAGTTTCAAATAGATATATACTTCGCTATAAGTAATCAAATAATGTAGATAGATAAATTTAGTAGTAACTGAAGAATTTAGTGTTAAACGTAGTCCCTATGCATCAACACGAGCTGTTCATTGACTACCATGACCAGTAGCGGATATCAAATACATTTTGTCAGTCCGGCGGTAAACATGCTATATCTCACTATTCTAAATATTATGATAATAACCCCATACAATTCACAAAACACCATCTAGCTTAAAGCTAAGCAAACTCATGTTATGGATACTAGACAACTGATAGAATTACTTATAGTATATTTTGTAGGTCTGGATGTATTCTATGTATATTATGACTTACATAATATTAATAAAAAACATCCAGACCGCTATAAACAATTATATTTATGAATACAAATGTTTGGGCTGTGCGAGAAATAGAACACGCGATAATTGAAAGTAAGGCGGTGTGCTAAATCGCTAGAACATCATATAATAATAACTACAGCCAATTCACATAGAGCCATCTAGTCCCAAGCTAAACAGAGCTCAGAATGATTTATCCATTTATTTATGTTATAAACAGCTTATATAACAAGTAAATTAAAAACTAAAATTTGTGTTGATAAAAGTATTTGTATTATTTTAGCCGGAATCAAAGCCACAACAGCCACCTTCTATGCCCACGACTGTTGCCACTGGGCCGGTGGTATCGCTGGGTGTACACGTGCATGCTGACACACCACCTATCATCGTTAGATTAGACTACGACCAGGTATTTTTTTTAATAAACCTTAATTTCTTTGCCTTATCTTAAATTTCAAATTTTTCGATTGAAATTTGAAATTTAAGATAAGGCAACCCATTAGAAAGCATGTTGCTTGGTATAGAAATATGTTAGATAAACGAACGTAGTATAGAGAAACAAATAACACATTAACACAGAAAAATAAAGAAAAAATTAAGTGTCTGTTTGTAATTCCAAATTAACATCTTTCATTAAATAGTGTACTTACTATACATAAGAAATTAATTTAAAAAAATAACAAATTTTGAACAAAGTCTACTGACATTATTATCTTATTACAGGTCCAAATAGTAGGAGCTGCTCTGCACTGTTTCAAGCATATATTGACGTTGCTGCAGACCCCAGCGGTATCTGCGAGGCACGCATTCACTACGGCGGGAGCGTCTCATCGCTCGCTTATAAGGTGTATTATTCATATAAGTATACATTTATATTTCTGAATGAAGAAGACAACGTCTGAATGAGCTCATCATAACTTATTTGACATCATAAATCATGTTAGTTGATTGTTTGTATCGATCTGTTTGTTTTCTATATATATATGTTTTTGTATCTGTTGTCTAGGACCCATAGTACAAGCCCTGTATACCTTGGAACTTATGGCGCTGTGTGGATTGTCCAGCGTTGTTATTATTATTTAAATGCTTTTCATCTGTAGGATATTGCTCTTAATTACTAGATTGGACTATACCTGTAACTTACATTAGATTTTATTTTTCGAAATTATATTTTGTGCAAAACATATACAATTGTACTCATGAATATAAATGTTTTTATGGTGCAAGAATCGAACCCGCGATCATATGACACGGACATTGCGGTTTTTTAGGACTTTTCTCCCACGCACACTTACGATTGCGAAATAATTTACTTGCCGCTGTTTTCACAAGAGATTACAAAATGCGGTTCTTTAAAAAGGATATATTAAGGTTTCTTAAGAAACCGCAACGCGCACGAGACGAGTGTTTCAGGCGTCTACAGACTACGGTAACCGTTTACCATTACATGGGCCGTATGCTTATTTGCCACCATCAATGTTTAAAAAAACTGGTAGTAATGCTAGGTGCTAAATGTCAAAATCAGTACTGCACTGACACCTGCTGAGCAGAGCTGCACACCTGCGGCACCAGCTGAGTAGAGGCCTTTGCAGCTTATAGCGCAATAATAGTTTTTTAATTTCTGATATATTTTTCACACTGTACTATGCTATGCTAATTAAATTATTATAATAATTATTAAAATATTAATCTGTAAAAAAATTATAGATCCGTGTCAGAGTTGGAAGAGCAGAATAGTCAGTCGGAGGATACGCCCAGCGAGAACCGCTCCGAGCTTATATCTATTTTTGAGACGCAGTCCGTTCAACAAAGTAAGAAGTTTTATAGTATTTAATACTTATTTTATACTACCAACCGCCTCGGCTTCGCACGAGTAGTAAAACATTATATTATACACTTGGTCATTCATCAGGAATGACTACTGATATATGAAAACCGCAAGAAAATCAATCAAGACTAGGATAGGTGAGCCAACATTATGAAGCCTGATGCAAATACTTAATTACTTTGTTTTATAAATACATATATAATATACATAATAACCACCTAGGCCAATCCAAAAAAATCGTACTCCAGAATGTTTGCGAAATAGAACCTGCGACCATCAGAAATAAAGCAATGTGAAAAACGGCTCTATCAATCAACCATAGGGCAAACAGATTAGTTGAAAAAAAAGAGTATAAATATAATAATACTTATAAATTAATAATATATATATGGAATACATACATACCTACTAAATATATGTATATATTTGTGTTTATCTTGTAATATATTTCGATTTGACATTAATATTTTCTTTGTATATATGAGTGGTCAAATCAATGAACAGAGCCTGTGAACATGAAGACGTTCTTCTGGTTGCAATGGGTTGTGAGCCGCGCCACTCTGGTGGTGTCCTCGCGGCACGTGAAGCTAGCATTCGACATTGATGACGTCATCTCTACCGTCGACGTCCAACAGCACTACAATCAGATCAAGATCAAACTAGCATCCGCCTCTGTGCGACATTACGAACGGTCAGTGCTTCTTTACACAGTTGTGGCCATTATTTGCCATCCTAAATATCCTTAGAAATGTTTTATATATTTCACGCGGGAATCGATTTTTACGCAGGCATGTAAATGTAGACAAAGAGAATTGACCGAACATAAGAGAAGATTCTTATAGCACATAACTGTTAAGTATAATGCTGGCTACAGTACACAGTTACTAAGATATTTCAATGTAATGTCACTAAACTGTGTAATTACAGTGTATTTTACTATTGTTATTTAGTAATAATAATTAAGATCGATATTTTAATGTACACTCCCATCTGTAATTTGCGTCGATCTCAACCGTCAACATCGTAATATCTCAATACTGATCCTCAAGGAATAAATTCTTTTGTACAGTTTTATAGAATGTGTCACTTTTATATCAACATGTATAATTTTATGGCAACATTTCATTAGAGAGCGAGATCATATAATTACATACAATACATAGGTAGCCTAACAAATAGTATAAATTGCCACATTTGTACAGTACAAGCAGCGACGATTGGGCCGCTGGGGTGCTTCGTGGGCGTGTGTTGGAAGCGCGGGAACCTACAGACGCGAAGCAAGACAACCACTTCCTCGCGATCACCGTCACACAAGCACAGTGAGTGCATTTGTTTATGCAGATATCACATATAACAATTAAATATTTTTTTATTTATTTATTTAAAACTTTATTGACCAATAAATTATGGTACAAAAGGCGGACTTAATGCTATAGGCATTCTCTACCAGTCAACCTTCAGGAAGTGCAGAAATACTTGATGGTACCTTAACATTAATTATATAAATAACATACATACAAATATTAGACTAAACTAAAACTAAACAAGAATAGAATACACACGAATATTAATTTTAAATTACATACGAACATATATATACAACATACATACAATACACAATATATATACATACATTCAATATGATGAATACATTACTTGTTCTATGACAATAAACTTAGAAGATGAGCATGAACATTTTTTTTAAAAGTATACTTATTGTAGATAGTTTGAATGCGTTCAGGGAGTGAGTTCAAAAATAAAAAAGTTACACAGTAAAATATAAACTTTATTCCTATATATGTATAATTAATGGTAAAAGGAGTAATGGTACTATTAGTGATGGTATACACTAAAGTTGAGGTGTGTTTAGTGACCACACGTAAACTTTAAATGAAAATCAATGCGTTATGAAAATAATGTTAATGGCGCACTAGTGTAAAGTATATAAACCGTACATATATAATAATAATAACAACATTCAGCATTACATCAGCAACAGTAGTTAAATATATGCTTAAACTTTTAAGTTATATATAGTACAAATATATAACTTAAAAGTTTAAGCATGCTGGTACCGCTGAATGTGGCCTCCATTCAGCATTTATACTGTATTATAACCAACCAACCACGAACCATCACGCCATAAATCGTCTATAACAGACGCTTAAGCCATTATATATATATAACCAAGTTATACCTCAGCGCTGATTTTAAAGGCAATATATTCTCACACTTCTACTCCATATATGTTTTGACATCTCTCATGTCTGTATTGTGCATTTATATACAAAAAAAAATGTACACTACTAGGTTTCACTAGCCGAAGGGTCTAGACAGGTAAAAACTTTTATATACCATAAAATTATTCGTGTTAAGGCCCGGTAAACAATATAAATAATGTGTAGTAAACAAGAAAATTTAAAATAAATATAAATGTATATTAGATTTTCTATTCAATTTTCCATTCTTACAGAATATCGAATCTACCGCCTAGTTGGAAAGAAGAATTGCACCCGAAGTTACTAGAGAAAAAAACCGTAAGGAATATTTTATAGTTTTTTAAGTTTGATATAAGTGGTTGCTTGTGCTCTCGTACAAGAATATAAAATAATCACTTCTAATGATAGTATTTTTATATTTTCTTTTATCTTATTTTGCTCCACCATCATTGTTACAAATATTAAGCAGCAATTGTATGGCATCCCTACATGGGTTATTACAAAACAAAATATCGTCAGTTAATTTTGTTTCTACATAGTCTAGCAACTTCAGGTATTACATTTAAATCACGTTTTTAAGCGCGAAAAAAACGTTACCCGATAATCAAGTTTTTATAACAGTTGATACTGTATCATACTAGTGGTCGATTGAATGGTACAGTAGACCTTTTTGACTGTGAGATGACATTGATATAAAGAATGAAAATGTATTTAATGAAAACAAAATCTCAGCTCTGCCAAGGTTATAGCTCCCCTTTCCTTCTGATGGTAACGGATTCGATTCCTCGCACCGAACATATATTTATATTTATTAGTAAGTATGATTTTATATTCATCTGGGTGTTTTGTATATATATTATTATTATTATGTATGTATTTATAAAGTATGCAAGTGTTTTTGTGAATAGTCTAGGACCTATAACACAAGTTGTTTGGGAGAGTTTATTATTATTATAATTATTGAGTAGTGTTGTTGAAGTAAATTTTGTTTATATTAGAGTGCGGACAGCATGTGGGAGATTTATGCGACACTAGCGCCGTTGGAAGTGGTGGTGCGGCCGAGCGTGCTTGAGAACATCGTGTCGCTTGTGCATCAGATGTGCCCGCGGTCCTACTGCCCGCTACAAGCGCAAGTGGAACCCAGGTGAAGTTTTAATGCATGGTAATGGAATGCTGCATCCTCCTAACAGTTTATACTGGCGGGGCACCATTAGAGAACGATAAAATAGGTCAGGTCAATTAGCGCATATTGGCTAATGGAAATTTACCGTGAATTTTCCAAGAATAGTATAGTAAGGTTTCTTAAAAGTCGGCATCGCGCGTACGCTATATTTACCATCAGATTGATTGTATGTTTGTATGCTACTACAGCAGTATAAAAAACCACAATAGTTGCAAGGAAGAACCGGGTAGAGGTCAAGTTGATATAGTACATTGCTAGCAATGGGGTTTTTAGTCCACATTACAATCCCCCACCCCCTCCCCGCAGGTTCGTCGTTATTAACCAATTTACAAACACATAATTTACAAATATATGAAGTACAGAAAAAATATATGTACAAAAAACAGACATGGATGTGACTCTATGTAAATTTTCCTTTCACCATATACATATTGAGTACAGTGAATAATAAATTTATTGATAACATTTTTAGTTTTTTTATGTAATAAAAACACATTCACTTCAACAACCATTGACATAATCACAAATCAGATAAGAAATGTACTCTGTTAATAGCTACGCTTTGACAGTAACGCTGCTTTAGTTTCGGCGGTAGCGGATTCGATTCTCGAATCATACTGTCATTTGTATTTATGAGTGTGATTGTTTATTGCAAAGCAGCATTATTATATATGTTTCGGTCACGTCGCTCGCGGCTGGAATCACATGATGATATCCTGTATATAGACAACTAGTGGATCATGAACTAGTTGCAATTCTAATTTAAAAAAATAAATATTTGTTGTTTTTAACGTATTGTATAACATCAATTTCAGAGTTTCAACGTGGCAGTGGCCGTTCTGCTACATCACTGCCGGCGGCTTGCGTCTCCTCGTCACCGCTGAGGATGAATACAAAGAGAACGATGACACTTTTATGTTTGTGGTATGTTATAAATTCAACATTTACTGAACAGACGCGACGGGATTGCATCTCATGTTCCACTATGAAAGAGTATTCAGCAACTCATCACTCGCTGTAGTCCTAGAGGATCACATGATGACAATAACAGTCGGAATTGAATCACCAATAGAGAAGCTCGTAAAACTTCCAGTAGTCACACATGCGGTGCATTTAACTTAAATAATATAAATCCATTAAGTAGTTAAATGGACATCCGCAAAATAACACCTAATTCGATAAAATCACATAATGACGTTATGTCCGTAGTGTTGTTTATGTATTTAAATGATGATGGACAATTACTAGTGTGTATACCCTTGTAATATTTCTATCAACGTCTAACGTTTAACGTATTTCTATCTCCACATAACATAGATTTCTTTCTTCAGTGTAAAGTCAGTCCTCTTTATGACTCCCTCGTTGAGTGTACTCATTCCTAATACGCCATGTAGCACACTATCGTTTAAACTTACTAATCTAGTACGTTTGTCACACCCAAATACTCACTACCTAGATAGTGTAAGATGACTACGACTACCTATGTACAATGCGCAGAGTTAAGGTTCATAGTTAAGGTAGAAAAATGTCTATCGGCTAAGCTAGTGTATTGTAAAATTAATATACGTATATTTTAGTAGACTACTTTGTTACAGGTGGGGAAGATCACGGTGAACCCGCACCCGGAGAATCCTATTTGCAGGTACTTTAAATAATGGTAGTAGATAGATATGAGGATATTGAATATAACTAACTTAATTTACTGAAACAAATAGTTAATAATAGTTTGTGCATATTTTATACTGATCTAGAAACATTATTACATTTTAACACATAATTCGCAAATTGGTGTTTGATATTTTTTCTATACGTAGCACGTAAAAAAAGTAAAGGAAATTTTATGATACTACTGAATTCATCATACTATTAACCCTAATATAAACATCCAAAAATTGAATTTTATCACCGTTTTTCTTGTTGTTTTTTTTCCTCGAAGCGGTGTGTATATTTTATACAACAAAAATACCATAAGTATATCTGTTAGTTGTTATTAGGTGAGTTTGTTTACATTATTTCACGTTGTGTCGCCACATGTTTTCAGTTACATCAGTGCATACGTATTATGCCGACGTGATGATAGATGGCGCTGGAGAAATTCCGTCTAAATCGCGCTATGATTGCATTTTGCTGTTCGTATAAGGGTTATGCATTTCATAGCTCGTAGTTCTCTGTTCAACAGTGTGTAACTATTACTTTGTTACATTGTTGAACAGGAACAGTAAAAATAAAAACTTAACATACCCCTTCGACGACTATGGGTACGTACGTTACGTTATGCACCCGTATGTGTGTATGTGTCCCCAAGGTAAACATAATATCTCGAAAACAATTTAATAATATTGGCATTTAGTTTACTTTATTACTTGTATGTTTTCTAAACATCACTTCAATGTATTGGCAATATATATCTAATATGTTATCAGTCTGAACAAATAGTATGCAGATTCATAATCAGATGCGATATTGTAAAAGTTTTTCTGAATATAAAAGAAGATTAGAAATAGAGCGCTAATTGTATAACAGAATTATTATGTATTAAGTACGTTATTATTGTTTTTATAGATAAGAAAACAATGTTTGTGTCTTATGAAGATATCTCATTATAAACTCAAAGGGACATGTGTGTCCCCTATTGGCATTGAGTAGTACTGTTTATGAGAAATAGTTCAGTTGACATAAATATACTGTCACCACTGTTATCCCAGGTGGGGTAGGCAGAAGTATTTTTAAATGTCAGTGTTGTGGTGAACGAAACTTTGGCATGTTAAGCCTGGTATATTTGAATCCAAGTAGGTACACGATGGACTAACTGACCTGACCTCATGCTCATCTTATCATCCTCCACTGGTGCCCGGCCAGCGTAAACCGTTAGCGCAGGCGGGTGCACCATTCCATTATCATACACAAAAAAAACCAAGTAGGTAGGGGCCTAGACAACCCCTTCCCCGAACTAATTTTAGTTTGATATGGATGTTACTATCACCGGAGAGTGAGTTAGAAATATAAATTGCCTTAATTTATTTTTGATAGGTTAGTAACTATTACAGTATTTCGTATTAAACAGTCTTACTTTCGACGGTCGCGGGTTTGATTCCTTGCACGGTACAAGCATTTGTTGTCTTGAGTATAATTGTTAACATCAGTGTGGATGCTTAACGGGTATACTAGTAAATAATAAAAATATTTTCTCAGACGCACAATCAATGCCGGCGCCGAAAGCGGTTGGCTCGGCAGCGGTAGCGCGTACGAGGGTCGCCAGTACGAAGTGTTGGTGAACAATGTTGCCATACGTTCCGCGCAGTTCAGCCAGTTGGTCTTCCAGGAGGTCAGTCCCATAACTCATTCTTTATTTTCATCACGACACATCTGTTACGGGGTGAGCAAACAAAACTATCGCGATGATTTCGATTTTTACACGGAATGTTTGCGTCATTTGACTCTTTTCGGAGTGCTTGGAAAGCACTCTAACTTGGTAGTCACAAAAACTGAGCTATTATACATTTGAAACAAACTTCTTGAAATAACATTCTTTCACTTCAATTAGGAAGAATATAGAGACCACCATGCTATAGTCTGTTTTTCAATTTCGGAAACTAAATTAACGAATATGCATAAATTTCTAATAATGTTACCAGCTCTAGTGGAGTAGTAGTAGCTACATTACTATCTGTACCTGCATTATCAATTTGTTGAATCGAATTTTTTTAGTTTTGAAGTATCCATAACATATTTTCAAATTGTAAATGTAAAAATATTCTCTAAGTTGAAAAAACTAACCCCAATGTTTTGTCAAACCGCAAAACTAAGGCGTTCTTAATTTCACATATTATACTCTCAACCTTCAACCGAAACACAGATGTTAGGTGCTTAACGTCTGAAATAGACAAAACTGGTATCTCACATTGATGACTACATAAAGTGAACCTCATATATTACTATCATAAAATTAGTTTTTTTTTACACTTCGACTTTGCTAACGTCAACAAACGTACGGCCCATCTGTTGGTAAATGACTACCGATGGACGCCTGAAACATCTGAGGTTACGTGCGCGTAGAAACCTTAATATACCCTTCTAGAAAAATACTTTTAGTGTACCTAACTCGTGTTTTATTTTTTGTGAATCAATATATTTCATTTAAATTATGTATATAACTGTATTAATATTATACATTTTGACAACGTTCACGTTCTTATAGAACACTATATATACACTATATATAATTTCGATACCATTGTATGTATAGATACTTTTACGTTTCCACAGACGAGCGAGTCGGAGATGATGAAGGGGACCGGCGGTGAGAATCCAGCTCTGAAGTGGAGTCAACCAATTGTGTCCCCCAACATTACGCCCATGTTGCATGCGTATGTACTCATATTATGTCAACATTACCTTGCCTTTATCACATTGTTTGTGGTCGGCGCTTTATTTCATTCTCTTTCATTGATCCCTATCAGTCGTTATATCTGAGCTTACTCTCTTTTTATACGTATCATCTTTCACACAATCCATGGTAAATACTTTCTTTAAGACATGGTTCTCACTCATCCACACAATGTATGTACCCATTTTTCGAAGACGACGATCTCAACCATACCAGACATTCAACCGGGTGCCTGCACGCGCCCTGACGCTCCAGGCCGGCGCCCCCTGTCGCCCCTCCGATCGACCCTCCATCTAATTCAATGGGAATCAAAATTACGACGGTCTGAACCGAGGTTCGAACCCCTAGAGGTGTCCCCACACTACAATTGTATTCTTCAGGCGGGAGTTGGCCTTCAGCCGCTCCATAAGTCCTTCTGCGGGTTTGGAGTGCCATCTAGCCCTATCATTTGCTGAAACTGTAATGGCCAGCTGCATGCAAGAGCTTTAGGTAGTCTGAAAAATATAGACATTTATTATTTAGTGTTCTGTGTATGGTATTATTTCTTCTTATTGTATCATTTAGTGTGGACATCGGATGCGTTCTGGCGCCCGCTGTGTACTCAAGCGGTGTACTCACGTGCGGCCCTGCCATCGAACTGAATCTGTTGACGGACTGCTCGGTGGAGCTAAGCGTCGGCCAACTGAAGCTGCTACACACGGTTGCCGTCGACATCACAGCAGCTCTGAACAATTACAAGTACATATGTTATTGTTTGTATCTAAACTCAATGGCTACTTATACATGACACGTTCTAAACGCGCGCGCGCTTTAGCGCGGTTAAAGTCAGCGCGCTCAGTTGGTAGTTCATTCTCATATTATCAGTCAGTCGTGTCGCACCAGCTTTACAATTATCACAACTACGTTGTTTATGTTCACGTTCAGGTACACGGGATTAATATTCGAGGAAGAGAAGCCGGGTGTGTGTCCATATGCTCCACTGCTGATGAACCGCGATCTGACGGAGGACTCGCCCACACTCCTCTCGGATTCAACACTCACTGAAGGTAAAATACCTCCAGTTTAAATCATATAACCATAATATTTAATTTTAAACCTAAGCATATTATATATATTCCTATATTATTGATATTGTATATGAGGTATATTATATTGTGAGTATGTATGTTCAAGGCAATTTCGATACTGCTGAATCAATTTTAAAACTTCTTTTAGTGTTGGATAGTCTATTTACCAAGAAAGGCTATAGGTTATATAAGATGACGCTACAATCATTACGAGCTGAGGAAAATGTGATAAATCGGATGATGATGGTAGCCGCCATTTGTTTTAAAAATGTCGATCTATAAACAGTCGGTATTTCTATATACATATACTAGCGGTTACAATTACATATTTTAACATGAAAAGGTCATTATTGTGATTATTATAATACATAGACATGTCGTACTTTATTGTACATATTGATATCATCTATAAAACTAGTACATCTATATGTAGTACTTTGCCTTATTGTCAAAAACATACGCAGCGTATGCTATATAAGGTTGCGTTAGGTTACATGATCAAAATTTTCATACATATCACTAAAGGTATTAAAAATATTTTATCGCCTATGCTCATCAGGGATAATGTCATTTTAAGATACAAATTTTAAATAGTTAAAGAATAAATTTTTTAAATTTATCCCGCAGTTTCAGACATTATTTAATGCTAACAAGCAAGCAGTCAATCAAATTTTTGCCCTCTATATTCATATAGGTTTATAAATTTTATGAGTTGTCTACTAGCCACAGTGAATATATAAAACTTTGTAACAGAAACAACGAAAACCCTAAGTGATATGGGTCAAAGTGTACAAGCTGATTCTGGAGTGGACACATCCAATTCTACATACAAGTCGAGTCGCAATACCGAGGATGCGCCGCTCACCAAGAAGTCCGTCTCTATTGCTTTTGTGGAACATACGTAAGTACCTGCGAATTAATATGAGTTTATCATACTTATATGTCCCTATTTTGTATTATAATAAGGTTGTAAATGATACAGCAAGCTGTTAGCCTGTAACTGAACAATGTGCTTAAAGAAGTTGAAATGGTATAACCATTTCAACTTCTTTAAGCACATAAACTTAATATACTTTTGAATTGTCATATTTTTTATTCTCGAAATCTCTTCTCATCACAAAAAGAATGAGTCTGCTCTATAATTTGCTTTTTTTATTGTATTGTATTGTAAACTCTTTCTTAACTATTCCAAATTCGTCTTCCTAGCAGGGCTGACGTGTCAGAGTTCATGGAGGTGTTCGTAACGATGGGCATGATCGAGTTGTCGTTGTATGTTGCTGATGACGACAGCCCCGAGGTGATAGCGCTAAGGCCGCCGCAGGTACCTCCCGCACCACAGTCGGAGCCTGTAGTTCAGGTTGGTTTACAACCTACCAATATTATTAAAGTGAGTATTTGCTTGGATGGATATCTGTTGCTCACTCACAAAAACTCAAGTAGATAGCGTCTATGTTTTATGTGGATGCCATTATAGTCAAAATAGTGAACTGTAAATTTGTATAGGAACAATAATATTAACCGTCGAAACAGACATTCACACAGCGCTATCTAATCCAAAGCAAGGCAGAGCTTATCTTATGGGTACTGAACAACTAATATAAATACTTAGATAAACACAAAATATACACAGAAAACACCCAAACACATGCAACCATACTAAACAATATAAAAAGCGAGTTTCTCATTACATGTTATATCAGATGTATTAGAATTATTGTTGTACTATTTCAGGTTCCTACTGAGGAGAAGAAGGAGCCAAGTGTTGCTGCGGACGACCTCGGTGATTCTCAGGGCAGTAGAAGTCTCACGGATACTATTAGGAACGCGGATATTGGCAAGACTAAACTGGAGGTAGCGGTCGATATTAATATATAATTATGAATTTTACAAATCAAAAGCGATAGCTGCCTTTACACATACAAACAAAGAATAATGATAAAAAAAAGTTAAATACAATTGCTCACGATGGCACGCGCTGGCTTTCTCGCGCTAGAGCGCCTACACTCTTAATCGCACGTAAAAGAAGGTGTCGTAACAACTTTTTCTTCAATTATGATGTATAGAATTAGAAATCCAAATAGATAATTATATTTGGGCATTATGATAGGACTTAACATAATTCCTATTTTGATTTTTAAATCTATTGGTCGGCAATCTCTCGGTCTATTGCACGGGCTATGTTACGATTTGTTACACATAAGCGACACAGCTCGATTATAGTACTCGACCGGTCTTTCTCGACTGTATGACGCGGTTATACTAGTGAGTTCGGAAGCAGGAGAAATATGGACGCTAACAATATATATAAATTTTAACTATTGCTAGAGTTTCATTGTCTAGTGGTTTATTCCCCTGCGTCCTAAATTAGTCCTGAAACATCTAAATGAAATCCGTTTCTCATTATCATCATCAATTCACTGCAGTGGACTATAGTTGAGTAACTAGTAATATTGGAGTAACCCACCTTACACTAACATTTTGTGTATCGTTTTATATTTACTCTGGTAATGGAAACACCGATAATGAACTCAAAAACTTGTCTCTTGAACACGTAATATATGTTTCCAACCTGCCAATGAGTTTTAGTTCCAAACTAGTTAAATGTCATAAATTTATTTGTGATCAGGCCATGATGCCGCACGTGAGGAAGGCGGAAGGAAACCTGCCCCTACTCCACATGACGCTGTATCAACCGAACCTTTACTACTGGAGAAGAAAGAACCAGAAGAGTCTTCAGGTACGTACTCGTATTATAATTATTAATTAACATAATATTGGAATGTTAATCGAAGCCATATAATGCTTTTAAATCGATAAGTCTAGTTCTAGTGGAAGTAGAATATCTACTCGATTAAGTAGAACAAGAGTGATCTTTTGTATAGTTTAAGAAGATAGCAATTCAAATTTTCGTAAAAATGTTCCGTCGGAATCGCTATTTAGCGATAAGGGTGCTTATTGTCTTATTAGGTGCTTTTACAAAATTCTTTCATGTGCGTGTTTTAGCGCGGTCAGCCATGAGTCATTGGATTGAACTATTTTTTTTGTTCCCTCTTCCGTTCGTGACAGCACGGATGTTTCATGTTATTTAAGTTTCTATTAAAATTTTAAGGTTAATTCCATTCGATTTTATTTACCAAACACATAGAGATTTGAACTATATAAATTTTTCATATGATTTTAACGGTTTTGCCAATTATTGTAACATATACTGGTACTAGGTGTCAGTGTTCAACGCGTGGCTCGGGCTGGGCGTGGGGAGGGCGGAGGGCCAGTGGCATGCGGTGCTCGTGTCGGCGGCCCGTGGCGAGCCCGACCCCGTCACGGACGTGCCGCCCGCACTCGCCACCGTCAACGTGATGGTGCCTACCACCGGTCAGTATCTCTACGGCGAGGTCGTGTGTCCGTCATGGTCGTGCGCCATTCATTGACAAATACTCATCATCATGTACTAATGTGTTAAATATACTAATATCACTAAAGACAAACGTTACGACTTAATCGGTACAAATTAAAAAGGAATTCTCCAGTTTATAGGCTAAATTTATTTGAATACAGATAATTTTTATTGTTTGTGAAGGTGGATATACTTCAAGCGGCAGCGGACGAGGGTCAATCCGTCTTGATGTCGAGCGGCCAGTACAAATCGAAGTGTCCGAGGACAGGCTGCGTCGCATCAAGGGTATCTTACAACTTGTAAGTTGCATTTTATATTAACGGCCAAGGTTGCTTGATCGATCCTCAAAATGGTTTTCGCGATAATCGCTCAACTCACACATCGCTGGGTCCTTGCCACAGAGAGTAAAGGTGCGGCGTTGGCAGTCGACTTTGACATAGCGAAGGCATTCGATCGGGTTTGGCATCAAGGTCTTCTATCAAAATTGCCCTCATACGGAATACCAGAGGGATTATGCAAATGGGTCGCTAGTTTTTGGTCTGGCAGATGCATCAAAACCGTGGTAGACGGTAATTGCTCCGATAGCATGGACTATTTTTGCTGCATATCAATGATCCGTTAACCACAGTTAACCCTCATTGCTATGCGGATGACAGTACCGTTCTAGAGTACCGCGAACAGCTTGTGTCTAAAATCCACATTACTCTTACCAGAGTCTCCGATTGGGAGCGACTGAACTTAGTTAAATTCAATCCTACTAAGACACAAGCCTGCGCGTTCACCGCTAACAAAACCCTTTTTGCTGTGGCTCCTCAATTCCAGAACACGTCCGTTACCATCTCTAAGAGTTCCGCAGTCACCTGGAAGAAAAGGTAAAGCTGGCATCCAAGAAGCGGTGTGCTCAATAGAGCGAGGCGGTACTTCACTGCGAACCAGACTTATCTTAAGTCACAGGTTCGGCCGCACATGGAGTACTGCTCTCATTTTTGGGCGGCAGCAGGTCGGTTTTTTGACTCGGATCAGAGACGTGCTATGAGAATTGTCGATGATCCCAATCTCTCTGGCGGTATCGAGCCTTAACTTGAAACGAGACTTCGCTTAGCATTGTTTGTTCTACCGATTACGCAACGGACTCTATTCTGAGGAATTGTTCGACATGATGCCGACAGCCACCTTTTACCACCGCACTGCTCGCCATTGGCAGGGAATTCATCCCCACACGCTGGAACCTAAGTGGTCCCGAACAGTGCGGTTTCAGAGGAGCTTCCTCCCACGTAGTTTGTGGAATGACCTTCCTGCCGAGGGTTTCCCACGAGACTACAGCATGGGGTTTTTCAAGAAGGGTATATTAAGGTTTCTTAAGGGTCGGCAACGCATACGTGATACCCCTGGTGTTTCAGGCGTTCATAGGCTACGGTAACCATTTACCATCATATGGGCCGTATAGTTGATTGCCACCATCAATGTTTAAAAAAACTGGTAGTAATGCTAGGTGCTAAATGTCAAAATCAGCACTGCACTCACTCGCTGCGACACCAGCTGAGTAGAGGCCTTTTCAGCTTATAGCGCAATAATAGTTTTTTTAATTTCCGTTAAAAAAAAAGGTGCTCTAGCGGTTTTGATCACCACCTTACTTTCGATAATCGTGGGCTTGATTTCTTGCATGGTACAATCATTTGTATTCGTGAGTATGACTGTTTCTATCGGTCTGGATGTTTTCTAAGTATGTTAGTAAGTATTCAATTCATATCCGTCATCTAGTACCCACAACACAAGTTCAGTTTAGCTTGGGACGAAACAACGCTATGTGAGCTGTCCTTTATATATATCTTAGTCACGTGGACGAGTTTCTTTGCGAGTCTAATTTTTATTGACACGTTATTTATTACAGGTTGAAAGCAGAGTGACAAGTTCTATGGAGGAGTTTCAAACGCCTGTGGTACAACTGCCATTTCTGTATAAACTACGACGTTTCATGGGTATGTTCCTTATATATTTATTATTATTTGCAACAAGTATTATTTATTCATTGCTGGCACAAGTATAGCAGGACTACAGAAATGTTGTTTAAATATATTGCCGGGAGACACTGTATATTAATTGAAATCTTCATTTACTAACGCCAGAAATAATATATATACATATATATTTCTAGCATTGGTATTTTATTTAGTAGGATCCAAGGCCTCCTAAAGGCCAAGTTCTGCCTGACGGATACTGGAGCTATGACCGTGAAGGTGAATATGAAAAACATTATATTCAAATATTAAGGGTATTCATTATCGGTAAATTTCGAGACACGAATGTACAATGGCAATGGCAATGGCAATATTCCTGTACATAGGCGACAACTATAACGACAACCATAGGTATAAAACCATACGTTCGACTCGCGCAAAGAACATTGATTACAATAAATATAATTTGTATCTTTCAGTACAAAACGGTATTGAGAGTATGAGAGTGGAGACGGGCCAGGTGTCGGTGTGTGGTTCGGAGGGGGCTGCAGGGTGGGAAGCTGCGTGCGCGCAATTGGCGGCGGGTGCTCGCCCGGATCGTGTCCATGCGCGTCTGTTGCTAACCGCACCGGCTGTGGCTGCCGGCCCGCCCGGAGACCGTCGCAGAATACTCCTGCATCCGCTCATGATAGGGCAAGTTATGGCACAATACTTGTACTTTTGCTGAATGTCCGTCGCTAAAATGAAGTAAAATGGTGCATTACAATTTGTTTTGTTTACAACAAGTTTATGTATCTGATTTTCCTGCAATTATTGTCATTTTTCGCGGCACTACACCTTCAACATACCACAACACACCTACACTATAAATGTATATATACGTCCCTATAAAGTCTTAATGTTGGGGATATGAAAAAATCCTGCCCTCTGGCGGACGCGGCGCGCAACACTAGTGACAGATTCGATCGCGGGAACGAACAGCGGTTACGGCGGTCATATTAGAAACTTGGTGAAAATTGGCGGATTTTTGGTGTATTTGGGGTGAGTATAGGGACAATTTTATATTTTATTTATTATTTCGTGTACACAAAAGTGATTAGATAATAGGCATCGGCAGAGGTATATTTGTAAACGCCCTGAACCAGCGACTTTAACGCGGGGTGAAGAATAGGTGACGAAATTATTACCACCGAATACCACTAATATATACAAAATTAACAATGGTCACTTCGAGACGGATCGGAGTTTCTCCTTTGTCGTTGTTTATTTCTAATCATTTACAGAAAAACACATAAAACGCGGATACACATATTTGAGGTTATTCCTACCTACGTAATAAAATTATCATAATTTAAAAACTATTTGCACACTATACACATAATTTGCGGTAATATTTATGTTTCAGTGTTAGGCATTGGTATATATATGTTTTGGTTCCCTCCCATATAATTATACTTTCACAATTTCATTACTTTTACAAGACAAATACTTCACCTCACCGCATATTTGATATTTTGTTGTTTAATTGCGGTTAAATTATTGTCTCCTGGATATTAGGGGTTATATTGTTATTAGTTTTGTGTAATGTGTTTTATTTTAAATCCAAAGTAAATAAAGACGGTCTTATTTACTTTTGGTAATAAATTTTTAAATGGTAGTAGATATAGTATTGTAATTTCATTAATTTGACTATGTATTAATTGGCCTTGCGTTCAATAGTTTGACTTCGTATTATTAAGTTGGTACTTCAAATCCCAACAACTGTTTTTGTTTTTTTTTGTTTATTTTATTATTTACGTTATTCCTTGGGGTTTGTTATAAAATTTCAGTGTATTTGTATAATATACTATTCATAATTTTTTGTTTTTTTTTTTATTTTCATATTTTTTGCAAACAGTGTAACTAAGCTAATTTGTAATTAGGTGTCTTTAGAAATAGTTTACATTAATAACTATTTTGTGGTTTATTGTCGATTAATGAGCGTTAGATATTTGCGATAGTTTTTAATACTTGAATCGGAAAATTAAGTATTATTCCTGTAGTAGTTTAGGCATAACTTACTTTGTTTTTTATGTAATTGTTGTTACTGAATATACTTGGTTAGTATTAGTTATAGTGCCAGTTGAAGGTATTTGTATAAGTATAATTTGTGTTATTTTTTAAATATTTATAAGTAAATTAAACTTGAGTTTATTATATATTAAGTACTTTTACAAAATTGATAGTTCGCGTTTGCTTACGTTTTATTTGAATTGGGGTTTTGTTTTACTTACGTTTGCTTGTTTTGTCACTTACTATCGAAAATGACAACGGCGGTTAAGAAAATTCAATTTAGGTACGATAAAGCCACTCACAATATTGATTACATTTATGATCTCGTGCGGACAGATTCGTTAACATTGGAACAAAAGACTGAGTTTCAAGTTAGGTATGCGGACTTAGAAAATAATTATCAAGAATTTGATTCTATGCATTCGGAGATGCAACTCAAGGCGGATGAATCGGAGTTAGAGAAACTTAAGACGGTCTTTGAGACATATAATAAGAAGTATTATTTTATAAAGCGGCGATATATTGAGTTATCTCTTGAAACTAAAGCGGATTACTGTGGTGACAATATAAAGACCGACACTAATCTCAAGTCTAAAGTGATTTTACCTAGGTTAGCGCTGCCCTCATTTTCAGGGAAATTACAGGAATTTAATTCCTTCATGGAACTTTTTCAATCATTGATTGATCAAGATGTAACATTAACTAATACTGAAAAATTGTATTATTTATCTAGTTCTTTAGTAGGAGAACCAAAAACATTAATTCAGCATTTATCTATTGTCGGTGATAATTACTCCATTGCATTAGAATTACTTAAAGCACGTTATAATAATAAACGTTTGTTAGCGGATAAATTATTACACAATTTATTAAGCGCGGCGCCCGTCACATATAAAAATTTGAGTGGACTAAAATTGTTTGTGAATACTTTGCTCGAAAATACGAAGGCTTTAGAAAAGATGAATTTTCCAGTAGATTCGTGGTCTTATATATTATTTTACATAAATTTTCAAAAATTAGATAGTAACTTAAAAAGGGATTTTGAAAATAAGTTTGATGAAAAGGAACTACCTGCCTTTGAAGATTTATTGAAATTTTTAGAAGGTGAGATTCGTAAATTGGAATCTAGTGCGGATCCTGATTCCAGTGCTCATATGCGGCGTAGAACGTCAGCTCCAGCGGTACGGGCTGTACATTCGGTAGTTCACAATGAAGTTAGCTCGGTATGTAAATACTGCGGAAAGAGCGGTCACTTCATCGCTAAGTGCGAGAAGTTTTTGAGTTTAAAGCCTACCATCCGAAAGCGACACGTAATATCCACTAACTTATGCTTTCGATGCCTTAATAGTCATAACATTGCTAATTGCCAATATAATCGAAATTGTTATAAATGCAATTCACCTAAACATCATTCCTTATTACATTTTGACATACCTGCGGGGTCACGGGAACGTCAACCCCGTTTATCTACTAATAATGTCCCAAGCAAGACGGATGCTACGGAACATCCGCCTCAGGAGACGGCTCCTACAGCTAGGGTTTCATCGGCAAGTACAGGCAGCAATGAGGTGTTTGGAGGAATGGCATCACAGGCCACTGGTACTTATCAACGGACGGTATTACTGTCAACGGCTATCATACGAGTACTGGATAAACACGGTTATTACCAGGAGGCACGTGCATTACTAGATGGCGGCAGTCAGGGTACCTTTATTTCGGAACATTGTGCCAACAGACTGGGCTTAAAGCGGTTGAGGTCTAATGTTATATCAGTCACGGGACTGAGTGGTATTCCTGTAACTGGCTGCAAGGGAGTAGTTAATTTAAATATAATGCCTAGGTACACAGATCTACCTGTTCTTTACACTGCAGCTACAGTGTTGAATAAGATCACGCGAAATTTGCCAGGTTTTTCCTTATCTCCTCATTTAGCGGAAAGTTATAGAGGTATACTTCTTGCTGATGAACAATTTTATATCAGTCGGGAAATTGATATTTTAATTGGTGCGGATCTTATTGCAGATATTTATTTGGGGGATGGTACTATAAAGATACATGATAATTTACCTCGTGCCATGAATACGGTGTTCGGGCATGTGTTGACTGGGCCTGTTATTTGTCCGGTTGCGGAACCAGCTTCTCAGGAGACTCATTTTTTGCAAACTTTTTGCTGTAATATTTCAACCGATAGCATTTTGGAGCGATTTTGGGACGTGGAAGATATTCCTAGCGCAGTGGAAGATCCTAAGGATATGGAATGCGAGTCTATGTTTGTTACTACTCATCAGCGGGACGAGAGCGGAAGGTATGTCGTACACTTACCTTTTTTATCGAACAGGCCGTCTCTTGGAGATTCAGTTTTATTGGCTAAAAGGCGTTTTTTCACAATGGAACGAAAACTGCAGTTAAATGAGTCGCTGCGGAAAAAATATGTAGATTTTATGCGGGAATATGCGGAAAAGGGACATATGTCACTCTGTGTCGGAAAACCAGAAGACTATGATTCCGGTTGTTATATTATATGTCACCATGGAATCTTTAAAACAGATTCAGATAATATAAGAGTCGTATTTGATGCTAGCGGCAAGACTAGCAACGGAGTAAGTCTTAATGACTGTTTACATGCTGGACCAAAGTTACAACGTGATATTATGGAGATCATTTGCAGATTTAGACTACATAAATATGTATTCACTACGGACATCCGAATGATGTTCCGACAGATTTTAATTACTCCGAAAGATCGTGCACATCAACTCATCTTCTGGAGGGAGTCTCCTGATATGCCCCTTCAACTGTATGAATTGAACACAGTAACGTATGGTATGAAGTCTAGTCCTTATCTCGCAATACGGACGTTGAGACAATTAGCGGATGACGAAGAAAGGCGATTTCCGGCGGCAGCGCGTCTTCTCCGGTCTTCAGTTTATATGGACGATATTTTGGGCGGTGCGGATACCCTGGAGGAGACTCAAAGTCTTAAGCGGGACGTAGTGAATTTACTGAAGTCTGGCGGATTTGAACTCAGTAAATGGACGTCAAATACTACGGATTTGTTAAAAGACATTCCAGCGGAACATTTGGAGAAACCTCGAATTTTTAAAGATAACGCGGATGGGCCTAGCTTCATTAAGCTATTGGGAATACAATGGGATCCAAGTAGTGACAGTTTTTCTTACCATACCAGATTTAATGATATGGAAATTTGTACAAAACGATCGATCTTATCGACATTAGCGCGGACCTTTGACCCATTGGGTTGGATCTCCCCTGTAATTTTTCAGGGAAAGATTTTAATGCAACGTCTATGGTTGTTAAAGTTGTCATGGGATGACAAACCTCCGGCAGACGTTGTTGCGGAATGGCAAGGTATTTTAAACAATCTGCCTATGATTGAAAATCTTAAAATGGAACGCTTTGCATTGGGAAACTCTGGAACGTGTTCTATACATGGTTTTGCGGATGCGTCTGAACTTGGATATGGGGCTGCTGTTTATTTGAGAACAGTGGGAAAAGGCGGACAAGTTAAGATCGTTTTAATGATGGCTAAATCACGGGTTTCACCTGTAAAGTCAAGGCTTACTATTCCGAAACTGGAGCTTTGCGGAGCAGCTTTACTTGTGCGGCTTGTAAAGTACGTGGTGGATTCAATTAACGAGCATGTGAACATTGAGGATGTTGTGTGCTGGTCTGATAGTACTATCGTACTTTCTTGGTTGCGGATATCACCCCATCTTTTACAGACATTCGAAGGAAACAGAGTCTCACAAATTATTAATTGCGGTTTGAATATAACGTGGCGACACGTACCCTCGGAACTGAACCCTGCCGACATAGCAAGTCGTGGTTGTCGAGCTTCGGAACTGCTCGAGCACAAATTGTGGTGGGGCCCCTCCTGGCTTCAAGGCCATGCGGATACCTGGCCTTTGAGTGAAAATAATAAAACTGAGTATGACTTACCTGGTATTCGAAAGACGGTGGTGAAGGTTCACGCGGTGATGGTCAAGAGAGATCCTATTTTTTTGCGGTTTAGTTCTTTGAATATGCTGTTAGCGGTAGTGGCGTATTGTTATAGGTTTTTTAGTAATTGTAAAAATCCAAACCATAAGGTTACCGGAGTTTTGACAACAAAAGAACGACAATCGGTTTTACTGCGGTTGATAAAACTAGTCCAAATTGCGGAGTTTGCGGATGATTTAAGTTGCCTCAAGCGGAGTAGTTTTTGTTCTTTACGTTTAAGGCGGCTTATGCCTTTTATTTGCGGGGAGGGCCTTTTGCGTGTCGGAGGACGCTTAAATCATTCCGATTTGTCATATAATCGAAAGCATCCGGTTCTTTTGCCAAAGGATCATCCATTAACGAGTTTAATTATAGATCATCATCATAAAATTCACTGTCATGCGGGATCGACTGCCTTGCAAGCCATTTTACAGACTCAATTTTGGATCATTTCGGCACGACAAGCTATACGTACCAGAATTTTTAAATGTATTTCTTGTTTTCGGACAAAGGCTAAACCTACAGAACCATTAATGTCTGCCTTACCTACGGATAGAGTAGTTGCTACTGGAGTTTTTCATACCGTGCAAACGGATTTTGCCGGACCATTTATAATAAAATCTTCTCGTTTACGTAACGCAAAACCATTGAAAGCATATCTTTGTGTTTTCATTTGTTCTTCGACTAAGTGCGTTCATCTTGAATGTGTTACGGACCTCTCGACAGAGGGTTTTCTTGCGGCTCTAACGAGATTTACGTCTCGACGCGGACTACCTAGTGTGATTCGTTCGGATAACGGCACTAACTATGTAGGTACCAATCGACACTTAGATGAGGTACAAAGGTATTTAGCTTCTCGGGAAGTACAATCGCAACTTAGTAGTAGCGCAGGTAAACGCGATATTACCTGGCGTTTTAATGCACCTGCAGCGCCTCATTTTGGCGGTCTTTTTGAGGCAACTGTAAAGGCGGTGAAGACTTTATTGCGGAGAGTCATCGGTGACCAGATATTGACATTTGAGGAGCTAGTAACTATATTCACTAAAGTTGAAGCCGTCCTCAATTGTCGCCCATTGTGTCCTCTGACGCAGGATCCCCAAGATTTGGAGGTGTTAACACCTGCGCATTTTTTAATCGGACGCTCATTATTATCTGTACCGGAATATAATTTTGAAGACATCCCAAACTCACGGTTGAGTCGGTACAATCTAATTCAGGCTCTTTCACAGAGATTCTGGAGAAAATGGAGTGAGCGGTACCTCCATTCTCTTCAAATGCGGAATAAATGGACGTCTCCTATAGATCCTCCTAAGGTAGATGACTTGGTCCTAATTAAAGAGGAAAATTTACCTCCTTTAAAGTGGAGATTGGGCAGGATTGTAGAATTGTTGCCGGGTAAAGATGGTGTAGTACGAGTGGTAAGGCTTAACACTTCAACAGGCACTATAACTCGTCCGGTTGTGAAGATTTGTAGACTCCCCACTAACTAATGGTTTCATATTTATTTATTTCATTATTTTTTAAAAAACTTATTGTGTTAGTTTTCTTGCGGTATTTTTAGCGATTTCTGTACATGAGCGGTCTATATAATTTTATAATTTTTGTCTTTCTGTATTTATTTACTTTTTGTTTTGATAAAGGCAATCAGCCTTTCTCGGGCGGGGGGATCTGTAATTTTCCTGCAATTATTGTCATTTTTCGCGGCACTACACCTTCAACATACCACAACACACCTACACTATAAATGTATATATACGTCCCTATAAAGTCTTAATGTTGGGGATATGAAAAAATCCTGCCCTCTGGCGGACGCGGCGCGCAACACTAGTGACAGATTCGATCGCGGGAACGAACAGCGGTTACGGCGGTCATGTTAAAAACTTGGTGCAAATTGGCGGATTTTTGGTGTATTTGGGGTGAGTATAGGGACAATTTTATATTTTATTTATTATTTCGTGTAGACAAAAGTGATTAGATAATAGGCATCGGCAGAGGTATATTTGTAAACGCCCTGAACCAGCGACTTTAACGCGGGGTGACGAATAGGTGACGAAATTATTACCACCGAATACCACTAATATATATGAAATTAACATTATGTATCAATTTCGACGACCTCAGTTACTTCCTATGATCGCGCGTTTGATTATTACGATACATATTAGTATTCGTCAGTAGTAAGTATTTATATCGGTCTGAGTGTTTTCCATCTATATTATGTATGTGTTGACAAATAAAATATATTTAAGTAGTTATATCACATATTATATTCATGTTATCATTGTATACATTAAATGACCATCGTGTGAGTGGCATCTCTGTTCTACGGGAACTTAACACATCACATCAAATCTAAACTGTCCACTATATGTCTCCATTCAATTCAATTTAAATCATATCGCCCGGAAAGAAGGTCATAACGAAGAACAATTGATGGTGACTTGCAAGTTGGATGGTAAACTTCCTAGAAAGCGTACCCCCCTCAAGATGATCTATCAAAATTCACTTATCTACTACTACACTACTCAGGAGATCATTTTCCAAGATTATACAAAAGACTGATGGAGGAGTGTAATTAAAAAACAAGTAATTTTAGGAGTTGTCACGATTCTCAGGAACCACTAAAATGAATCTAGGAGGAGGCTGTGAACATTGTTAATATTATGTTCAGTCTAGAACTAGATGACGTTATACTTATAGAATGGAATTGAATAAATGTTTCAATGAAACAGGGCGGAACTTCGAGCGACGTGGGATTCATGGCGTCGCACAGAAGGCGGACAGACTGCGTGCGAGCCCACTATAAGACTTAACCTGGATTTTGACCGTATCACCATAGATATACGGCCGTCGGATCTCGCAGCGTTGAATAATATACAAAAGACTATCCACGATTTATTCGGGAGGACGGAGGTGAGTTGATCACAACAACTAATACAAGCGGAGTACGGGTCTTTCTATATATTTATTGACTTATTACTCTTTATTACAAGTGATATAAAATATTACGAACGTATCTTTTAAAATATGAAAGTACAAAAGGCGGTCTTATGTCTTAACTTCTCTCGTCTCATCCAGAAGACCTTAGATTATACGGGATAAGAGAGAAACTGGTAGATGACTCATGAATAGAATGAAAGTATGTATGATAGAGTAGTGCTCTTATGCTTACCAGCGAGTAACTAAACTAGCGTAACTTAGCCGTCAAGATCTCCCGGACCCAATTTTTATATCGCTCTAATAAATTATGAGGAAATTGAGAAAATGATTACTACTAATAGTGTAATTAACTGCTTCTTATCGTCAGAGTCGCCCGATTTAAGTTGTACGTGGTGTAATTTGTTACTCATTGTGCATAAAAAATAATTCAATCAGTAAAATAACATTGCATACTCTATCTTGCCACATACACGTATAGACGTATAGTCTGTGACGATGGAAGTTTAATAATATTTACTTATAATTTTAATGAATTATTATTATATTTTTTTTTAATGGAGGAACTCAAAACATTGTGTAGGCATGCAAAGTACGCTTTATCTATTATGTATATATATATAGCACAGTCTGTTTACTAGCAGCCATCGCCACCGTCTCCGTCAAGGAGCGATGACACATTATACCGCGTCCGCACAGACGGCACGCCCTCGCACTCCGTGCCCAACCTGAGTCCACGTTCGTCTTCCGTCGCATCAGTGGACGTCGATGCCGGCGACCATTACTACAAGGATGACCTAAGGTAAGTTGTACTTGATATTAATTTATATGGCAAAACAATGTTTGACGAGCCAGCTAGTTTAATATAAGTTTTGTTTATGTGTTCGCATGATAGGAGTGGTGCATTCAAAATAGTGGGCGGAGGTCAGCTGCCGATGGCGTATCAAGTTACGGTGCATGGGAACGCTGTATCCTGGCGGTATCCTCATCCTAGGACCATCACGCGGATCGTTATTTTCCCCATCCCTGGACAGGTAGGATATACACGTATACGGGGCACCTTTGTTTAGGGACGACATATAGATTGATCGCTAGTTGCTACTCTTATGTTTGCTACTGATCAAATTGTAGCTATGATTCATCACTAAAAAAAAATTAAAAATTACAAAAGATCGCTGGTGTTGTAGTTTAACCACTGGCTTTACTACCGATGATCGCGGATTTGATTTCGTGAATGTGATTGTTGTATCGGTCTATGCTATATGTATATAGGTTATGTGTGTATTTACTGAACCAAAACAAAGGCTTCTGTTTACTGTCTGACACTAGGTGTGAATATGGAATTTGAGCCGTTTCAGATATTGTTTTTATTTACAACTCTTTCTCGTGCTCTTCGCATAGGACACGGAGACGGAATGCGTGCTGGAGCTGTACAGTCAGACCCTGGGATGTTGGCAACCACATACATACTTCGAGCTGCCTGTCAGCGAGCCCAGAGAGTTGAAGTTGTACGTCGCGCCACCTGGTACTGCTTCATCCTTACATATATGGGGCAATATTTTTTTAACTTTTTATTATATTTTTGTATCACATTACGTGACATGTTTTGAGGAGTGGGTAGAGAGAGTAGAGCCAAATGTCACCCAATGTCACGGGGGGTTAAAAACATAACGTTACTTTTTCCGTAAATAAACAGTTTAAAGTATTGCGAGAAACCTTTGTCAAAGGGGTTTTTTTTCCATTAAATATAACTGAATTTTACTACATATTTTTAATAATTATCGCGGAGATGCTATGTATATAGCTATCTAGTGAGCTGCCGATTGTTTTACACTAAATGTACGTAATAAAAAATATCACATGATATTATGTGATATTTTTATAGGCCGTGAGTCAAATTTCACGACATGACCAAGGTGGGCGAGGGAGTGTAGAAAAATCTCCAAGATCACACCATAATTAATAATAACGTATACTCACGAATGTAAAGAAAACTACGAAAGTACTTCATTTCTTACAAAATTTTCCTCAACTTACATCACCTTACTATCAGTTGGGCCGTATGCTTGTTTGCCACTTATATCTAAAGAAAAATAATATATAGGTAATTTATAAATATCACATGCTCTTAATTTATTATGATAGAATTAATTTAATAAGTAGTAACTGATTTAATTCATCATAATTTACTACAGATGCTGTGTTCGCTGTTATGTGGCGAGTACGCACATGTAACCAGGTATCGGACAAGACTGTACCATTCGAATTCAATCTAACCAAGTTCTTGCCTAGAGCCGATCCTTTGGTTTGTATTTGACTTATTTATTACTAGTATTTATATTCCAAAGTTTTATAAACCAGAAAGTTAGTCAAGTAAAGTAGAAAGTCGTCTCTATGGGTACCTTAGTATGTCACATACTTCAGTCCCCAAGCAGCTTGTTTAATAAGCTGTATTTCTGCTGAAGAGTGAGATTAGGCAGTGAAATTACAGGATAAAAACAATTATTTGTTCTCTGGCAACGCATGAGTGTTGAAATGTGCACACCTAAATATAATAATTCAATTTATAGAGGTTTAAAGCAATTAAAAACAACCGCGCAGGTCACCTGATACAAGTTTTACTTTTAAAGTATAATATCAATAATTTGTGTATTTTGAATTAATAAAGTATATTATTATAAAAAGTTTTGTATAATAATAATATACTTTATTATGAAGGTATCCGCAGAATACGTGTATAGTTGTGGCATCCATTCACGCCATATGCTGAGCTGAGATCTATTCTATACCACACATTAGTGTTGCAATTGTGTTGATAACTTCTTTTATTTTTATTGCTTAAATTTATCGAAAAAAATATCTTCTTTCTTTCTTACAATACATTGACATGTTTAATAGTATAACAGAAATGGCTTCGTTACACTGTTAATTATGTCAATAATTATTTTGTTAGAAATGTAAATTTAATTCTAAAGTATTGTATGGAGTGTGTGGTTTGTGTAGACATGCGACAGTCCAAACGAGTCGCCGGCGCGGACCTCTTGTCGTGCGAGCGATCCGACAGCGGAACAGTTGTCGGGCGTGTTGCGGGTGGACTCGTACTTCGCGCCGCGGCTATTACCGCAAGCGAAGCTCTCGCTGCGAGTAGTCGCTTTCGAGCTGAACCTACATAATTCGTTGCCAGCACTCACTAGGTAAGTTTTTGAAATATGAGTTTTGCTTGTACTGACTAGGAAAGATTTTATAGCCTAAGAAACAAATTAGCTGGCCGCTCACCTGATGGTAAGTGATTACTGTCGCACATTAACACCTTATTTTGGACAAATACCGTTGTTAAATCGATTTTAATGACATAATTTACTTGTGTTTGTTTGGCACACTTAAAGTAGATATAATAGATTTTATTGTAATAAACGATATGGTATTTTCAATACCATTAAGTATTGAAAAAATAAATGTTTAACTGATTAGCTAGTTAATATTATACTTTTATTTTTTTAGTCGTGTATCAAATTCCATATTATACACTCAAGTCACATTAAATATGCTACTTTTTTTTATAATAAAATGGTGACAAATAGTGTCCGTTCTCAACTAACAACGATAGAAATACCTACACGTTATACGTAGAAAACAAACAAATTGAAATTATTTCATCTATCAATGAAACAATTTCAATTTGTATCTACATTATATAACTTACAACAGTTCTAGACAGGCCAAGATCTTTTAGAAGATTGTCGAGAGATTTCGCTGGTATACCTCTCTCTTCCTCTTCGACCGCTTACAAATTAACCACATAGCCATTTTTAATTATCCGTTTTGTAATTTGTAATATGCTGTTTTTATCAACGTATTCTATCGTGTTACATGGCAGTCAAGCGACAGCGTTGGAAGGCTACTACGTGTCTCGGCCGTTGATGCGTTCGCATCGCGTGCTGACTTTAGGCGCACGTGATTTGAACGCTCATGCTCACCTAGGTTCGCCGGCTGGCATCATGTTCCTCCTTGATACAAAGCTCGGGTAAGCGTAGTTTATTTATTTATATATCTATCTCTAGAGGTATATGAATATCTCAAGACAATTCACCCCGTGCCGTCTAGTCCCAAACTAAGCAGAGTACGCACATTGGTGTATTACGCTTGTGATTAGATGGCGCAGTTTTGATTGTTAAGTGTTATTATTAATGGAAGCTATATTTTGACAATTAAGAATCTTGTGCAACTGCGATAATCTTCGCAATTTGCGTTGTTGCATTCAAATCAGATTAATTTCAGCTCTAGCGCTAGACTAAATATTGCCTACATGTGAAATGTTATGACTGTTAATTGCAACTATTTATATTGCATGTGATTACTCCACATAGGAAACGTATTTATACAATTAGTTAAAAATCATAAATATATTTAAACAAATAATTTAAAAAATCATTTCATATTGAGTCGTGTCACTTCTGCTCATAACCAGGAGCAGCATCCTTGACAGTGCTACGGGTACCATCGAAGAACTAGTGGAGGAGTTCCGCATGCAAGCAGCCATGTCGGTGGGGTCGGCCGGTCCGCGCGTGCGTTGTAGGGCCACCCGCGTCCACGTTCTTTTACACGTACCGCGAGTGCGCACATTGCTTTCGCTCGCTAAAGATTGGGAGGACGTTTTCGAAATGGTACATATTGTATTATTCTTCAGACAGGTTATTAATATAGTTAAACGGATTTTATTTTATCATCGGACAATCTAGTGACGGTAGTTGAACAAACTACTGGCACATGTCGATATTGACATCCTTGGTACTCCAGTCAGATCGTGACTAAGGCTAGTGCCCCCGAGTGATATAGTAAAACATGGAGACAGGTCAGACAGGACAACTTTGTTTACTATAAAATTATTCTAAGAACCCGTTTAATTATATTAATGATGTGTTATAAACGCGACAGTTTAAAAATCTATTCATTTGAATTTTACAGTAGCAATATATTAATTCCACATTTTATTCCCAATTAAATAATATACATTGTTACCAATTAATTGCTTTATCAATATTGTTGATCTGCGTATTTTCCATGTTTTTATTGTACATTATCATTATTAGTCGTGTCGTAACAATGGTTAACGTATACACGCTCCTGAGATAGTTTTTTCTTAAATGTAGTTCCATTACATGTATATACGGAATGACTTGCCAACCTGTAGAAAAGTTTGTTGGCAAAATTTTTATTAATACCTATTGACATCATTATTTAATCAGATCATTTATACATACTTAACAATAATTATTACTTGATATTTATTTTTTAACCTAACAGTCTAGTAACGGTAAAACACCACCGGAAGTACAGATGCATACTAAAAGAGAAGTGGCGGAGGTTGCAGCCGCTACACTGGAAGGCCGCGTGTCGCTGTGGATCCACAATAGCTGCGCGTCTGCACTTCGCATCGGACAAGAAGGCACTGATGAAGTAGTACCCCTCGGTCCTGGTGCCAGGCTCGCCTATAGGTAAATGTGTTGTACATCTATCAAGGTATACCCTGTTCCAATACCACATACAAAAAAGTTTAACATACATGTCACTTATCTATTTAATTTAAACATTACCGTAGTTTTTGTGGTTTTTTAAATGACCATTGTATTGTTGGTTATTATTGTTATTTATATTGAATATATTACGAATATCTATTTGGTTATTACGATTTTTATTAAATCATTAATTAAAAATATTCAATCCAGTTTTCTCTCAATTATCGAATGATATGAATGAATGAAATGAATTGCAGTGTAAAAAGTGAAAACAAATAAATACTTTTATTAAAAGTGGTGAAATATGTATATAATATAGTTAATCCATTTAGTGAGCGCTTATATGATGTCATTGACGATAAAATATTTACCATTTCTGTATGTTATATTGGAACGGTATACATATGAGTATAGACTATATAAAGTCGTTTGCATGTTTCTGATATTAGAACCCCCATTCAAGTAGCTTTGTGATGTGTCTCGGTTGAAGATTAATATAAGACATGAGCTACCTCTACACATACGCTGATTCACGCGGAAAAAAATGAGCGTGTTAATGTAGACAAAGAAAACGAGAAAGACTTCGCGCATTTGTCGTATATCATGGGTACTTTACGTCTTTTTGTAATTAATTATCATTGCAAAATGGCGGAACGTTGGAAGCTTAAGATCGAATATCACGAACAAGGAAATTTTGTCAATTAATTTCGTTATGTGTTATGTAAATTTATAGATGGCGTAGTCCTACAAGTGCTAAGAGGTTGCGGATTGCACTCGCGGGTCCCACAGCTGATTGGCACTGGTCTAACAGTAAGTATTCGTGTATAGAAACTTTCGAGCAGTTACCGGAAGTCCGGGACTTTTGCCCCGGGTGTAGTTACAATTATCTTCACTTTTCATGTTTCTTTTTCTGCCCAGCCAAGACTGGTAGACGCCTGCTACTGCCGCTTTAGATACACGTTCTAGTATAGAACTTTCTGCAATTTTAGACAAACTGAATTATTCTTTATATTATTATTATTATATATTTAGTATATAAATTACGTAAAACGTATTTATATATTTACGTCAACGATAATTACGGATCCTCATAATTTTCTTTATTTTATAAATATATTCATATGTTATTCAGGGACAACGTAAAATTCTAATAGAAAATACAAAAGAGCAGAATTTCCATGTTATAATATCGGTGTAGGTGAGTACATATTGCTTCTCTTTTTATAATGTAAGGCATCCCATTCACGGGCGGCAACTCGCGCGTCAAACTCGAGGAGCCGGTGACAACGAGCACCCGCAGTGGGAGTGTACCCGCCGCCGTGAGCGTGCACGTGCGCGTGCATGAATCCGGCGCCGCGAGGACCATGCACCTTGCTGGCAGCCTTACACTCGCCAACATGCTCCGGCACCAACTCCTCTATAAGGTAACCCACCATACTTTAAGGAACGCTACAACTCACGAGGACAACAAGAAAAAAGTTGTAAGATAATTTTTAATCTATCTGTCAGTCTTATTTGCTGAATACTGAATAAAAAAGTAGGAGCATGGTAAGTAAATTTGACGGAGTCTATGTTCTTCATTTGAATGACGGTGCAAAAATAAATAATAAATAAAACAATAATTATAGCTATTATCTGCAACTCTATCCGCACAAACATTCATCTTTATTTTACTCAATCGTTTTATTCCCTGGTAAATATTTCAATAACATCTTTTCTTGAAGGAATCTATAAAGCGAATCTACTGAATATGTATTGACATATAAATATATGTAAAGGGAGTCCATTCCACGACTGAGCAGCACTAAGAAAAAAAGTTACCCATAAATTTTGATCTTCAACTAGGAAGCTTACGCATCCGTGAATAGTTTTAACAATCGCACTTGATCTTGAGAGATGGTAACAATTGAAAGCGGGTACAAAAAGAACGGCATTATGATCATTGATAATTTAATATTATCAATGATCATAATGCCGTTCTATTTGTGATTATTTTAGATAATAAAAGAAAAGTCCTTCTCCTCGCTAATAACTAACTCTACCAATTCTTACAGTAGCAGCACATCTCTTTACCTGGAATGGTCGCGGGTTTGATTCAACATACAGTACAGACATTTATATTTATGAGTATGACTGTTTGAATCGTTCAGGGCATAACACGAGCTCAGTTTAGCATTTGACTAGATAACGTTGTGTGAATTTTCCAGTGGTAATATTATTGTTAACTTCATTACAAATTCAGCCGTTTAGTCTAGAAAAGTTGAAAAATCAGTGCCACCTTGATTTTTCAACCTTATGTTCTCTTAACACAAGGGCTTTAAATTTCAGAAGAAACCATGGACATAGCTGTTTACTATATATTGGTATCGATACATTATTACTATTACTGTTGCAGGTGCGCGCACACTGTCCTTCCACAAACCAATGGCGCAGTGTTTGCTCGGGCGAGCTCGAGTACGAGAGCGTTGGCCGAAGCGTCATCTGCAACTCTGACTGCGAAATGGTACTAAAGTTAGTATTTCGGTTTTATTTTGTGCTATATTTCCAGTGGCTTACAATACAATGTAGCTCGATGTTATGTTTTATACAGATTGTCGCGTTAGGGACTGGTGAGAAGGAATATAAAGAGTAGGAAATAGGAAATAGTGTTGTTTGTTTGTTTTCATCAGTACGGTTGTTTGTTTGTTATATATAGAAAACACCCAGACTTAAGTCTGGGTGGTTTCTATATATATATATTATGTATGTATTTACTAAAAAGATCTGTTATCTAGTACTATACCCGTTACATAAGCTCTGCTTAGCAATGGACTTAGATGGCGTTGTGTAAATTGTTCTGGTTATTACATTGATTCGTATTTACTATTTGCAATGCTTGTGTATTTGCAGAATAAAGTTCGCGTCACACGACACCGGCTGGTCAGGTGATATTCCACTGAAGGAATGTCCAAAAGAGAATGTACCTTGGTTAGTCAAAGGTGAGTCTTGTTTGAAACTAACAAATTTTTAGTCTAATATAAAGAAGTTGATGATCTATTTGATGGAAAATAAAAGCCATCGCCCATTTATATGAGCTTGTACAGAAGCTCGCCTTAGTATATTGAAATTTTTGTCTTTAAATGCTATCTGTGAGTTTCTGATTCTATGTGTATTGTCCTGAGGATCTTATACTGTGACCTAAGGCGTCAATGCATCTATGAGTTTTCTATAAGAAAGGGTTGTGATTGTCTTTGCGTCCACGAAAAGGCACAAGGAAAAGCCGCAGTTGGAACAGCGATTATCAACCAACTTGTCGGGTGCTCATGTGTCTAGTTCCAAATACACATTTTGTACAAGATTTTCAATGGTTATATTTGTCTGACGTGGGCTATTTATCCACTTGTGGGGTTCCCATTAACTTGTAAGTGATACATTCCGTTCCGCGAACTGTCATGACTTGTTTACATTTCGTGTGGATTATGCCAACTCTCTAATAGTAGTAATTCTATTGCTAGCAACGTATCATGTCAGCTATCCCTCCTAAAAAGGATTGTGGTTAGTTTTTGTTGAATATACCACTACGTGTAAACTGAACTTTCATCCTCCATTGGGGCCTGGCCAGCATATAGGGCACTCTGCCATAATTAATTCATACATCGTGTCTTACATTTACTTCTTCTGTAAGTGTCCTTGTTCTCTCACTGACGGCTGCACCGATTTGTAAGAATTTTGTTGTGTCTATTTGAATTATAATTTCCTAGATTGTTTAAAAGAGCATCACGTAAGTTTCTTTCTTAACTTTTAAAAGATGTCTAATCGACAGCTTTTAAAAGTGCTTAAATATTTAAGCACTTATTATCATTTAAGCATTTAACATCTTATTAAGATGTATAACTAAGTTTATTATCTATTATATTCTATTGGAAATGTTAGTTAGTTCTTATAGGTGAAGTTGCTTGTCCGAGTAAGAGAACTTCGGCATTTGGTACTGTATATACAAAATATCTACCGTTTGTGTGTGTAGTGCCCAGCTCGGGCTCTGTGCCGTACGTGTCGGTGTGGTGTCGTGTGGTGCGCGCTCGCAGCGACGGCCGAGCCCTGGCTGCACTCTGGCCGCTTTACGTGCTGCACTCGCAACTGCCTCTCGATACAGACGTAAGTACATTCGTCTCTCTTCCTCATTTATTTATAGCACCGAACATCTAATACATGAATTAAACCGACAAGTGATAGCGACCCACCTGTAGCTGAAAAATAAGTTATTTGGGATAATAAAGCAGTATCTTATTTTTTCAGGTGATGGTAGTAACTGACACTGCTGTCTCGTCTACGGAGCTGACAAGTGAACAAACTCAACCACCACCCCTAATACAGACGGCGCCAGGCCGCGGATCTAGTACGCATCTAGTCGCACCCGGAACTACGGCTGCTAGGCACAAGCTCTCATTTCAGTACAGGTACCTATATATACATGCATATTCGTATGTTGAGTAGTATATGTTGCCCATTAGGTCGTATTTATATCTCAGTCGCTTCCTAACTATCTATCCCACATACATATTCTTATACCCCTTTCTTTGTCTGCCTTACCTTTATGACCGGGGACTAAAAGCTGCAGCGCTAAATTGCCAACGTAGTCTGGTGACCTTTTCACTTGTCCACACCATCGTAGCCTACTTTCCTGTATTTCTTGACAATGACAATGTCGCGAATAGCCAATCTTCCTCGTATGTACTCGTTGCGCATTTTATTCAGTTACACCTGATTATAACTGGGCATGGATATTGTTTACTTTACAGAAATATAGAGTGCCCAGTGACCCGGGAGGCGGTACCGCTCCACTACGGCGTGACGGACACGTCCGTGTTTGACAAACGGGCGCCCGTCAATCACATTGAAGAGGTTGTTGAGGAAATGTATGATTGGTAAGTATAAGAGCTCCTTGTGACTCTTTCTTTCACGCATAATAATTATGATACTGCTTCATGGCCGCTGAGGTACTGTATATAGCCGCTGAGGTCGGTAATATAAAGTCGTAATTGTAATTATAATAGAAATTATATATAATATTGAGTTAGTAAAAATCCAAATACAAAATGGTGAACACCATTTTGCATTTGCATTTTATAAATTATTACAAAAATTCGTTAAAGCACATACGATTGTAGGACGCGGGAATGCACAAGCAAGCAGCGCACGCAGTTGTTCTCTATATTTACATTTAATTGCTCATTCTTTTCCACGTTGATTCACGCCTGTAACAACTTACGTGTGAAGGGAACTAATAAATTATTAGTATTATAATCTGCGCTCTACTGTAATGTATAAATTTGAACCAATAGTTTTAACTCTTCAGTACTAACAATCCCTTTTTTATACCTTAGGTTACGTCGATCAAGTCGCGACGCAATTTCCACTTGGCCCTATTCTATAGTCGCCAAGCAATGGCCTGGCACTTGGCAGCCGGCGCTGTTACAACCACGCAGTGATGTCACAGTGAGTGTAAACTTGAAAATAATAATAACCCAAAGTAATTCACCTTGTGCAATTTTCGGCACCTACGCAGGAGCGCGCTCCTTGGCTTACTCCCCTTATAAAGACTATCATGAATGTAATAGATTTTTGTTACATAATATAGGTAATGAACTTACAGAATAATAAAAAACACACTTATTGATACAAATATTTGTATCGTACAAGAGTCAAACCAGCAACCATTGGAAGTAAGGTAAACCGTTAGTAACTATCTAATAAAATACACTAATTAATTGTAACTTATTCAGGCAAATTCATAAGATTATTCATTAAACCAAATTATTATATTATTATCATTATTATATTAAACCAAAGTCAATTTCACAAGAATAGACAAATAACTAAATAAATTTAATTTTGTAGTTTTGAAATGGTCGTTATTTACTACTTTTTGTTCGTTCATTTGGCTAGTTACTAGAAACTTTCCTATAAACTAATCAATATATTTAAAACCTTTTAAGGCTTGACGTTTATAGTGGTCTCATGATATTTACACAGTTTCGTTAGATCCCTCGTACGATGCGAACATTCAAGTCTGTTTATTTGTGTCGGTCTGGGAGTTTTATACTATATATACAAAAAATATCTGTTTTTACATCTGTTGTTTAGTATTCATAAGTTCAACATAAGTTCTACTGACCTTGGGACTAGATACCTTTTTATGAATTGTCCATGGGTATTATTATTATTAAAGTCAGTATATACACTGCAGGTGCGTTACCAAGCAGTACGCGCGGGCGGCGGATGCTGTCTCGAGATTCGTCTCTGTCCTGTGGTGTTGCTCTGCAACGCTTCACCTATAGCGCTAACGTTACGAGCACACGACGCCGCCCCACTGTGCAAACTCGAACCTGGCACCGCTATATCACCGCCCTCGGCTCTACTCAAGGTAAATAAATTAAATTTATTATTGACTTATTAACTGAACAAACAATTATTAACAGTTAATACGCAGATGAGTTTACCTGATTAAAATATTAAATTAATTTATATCTTCTTTAATATAGATGTCAGAGAAGATATAAATTCAGTAACATAGTAAGCTTTCCTTACATTATGTTTCAAGAATTTTATTAATAATATAAATATAAACTTATCAACCTAAAATAGTGTAATGCTTCCAGTCAGCTCCGATATTCGATAGCTCGGTTCAATTATGTCTGTGTAATATCAACAAAAGATTGTTTGTGTGAAAGGTAGTATATACTTATCATAAAATGATTGTAAGCTTAAGTATTCTGATTGCGATCATTGGAAAATATTACATACTAAAGACAATCATCATTGTCATATCGTCAGCAAATACGAAATGTCTTGTTATACAATAATTTTTTTATTTGTTAGATATTAATGTGTTTTGCAGACATTGCATACTATTTATTGAAAACAGTTTTTAATGTTGTTTGAACTAGAAACCGTTCTTCGTGTCAGTGGAAATGGGTCGCGAGACGTTTGTGAGTGGTCAGCTGGAGGTTTGCGCAACTGAGCGAGGCCGCTACGGGGCGCCGCCCCCAGGTCAGCTCGCGCTTGACCATGCCGCGCAACTGGCGGTCCAGTGCAATCACAAGGTCAGACCAACTACACCCCCTCCGATCATCCCCCATCCAATACAATGAGGTACGAAATTACGACGGTCTGAGTCGAGGTTCAAACCCTTATGGAGGATTGTATATATTTTTAAACAATAATTTCTCGTCATTACCTCTTTTCATGACGACTCGGCCAATCGTAGTCTTACAGAAGAGACAGACACGTTCCATAGTTCATTTATAAAATTGTCTTACGTCATCCGTCACTTGCAATTTACAGCTCTATCTTATACATAATTTTCTATTATCAAATTATGTAATCTTCCTTAATACACTTATACTTTGTCGATACGTACACGATCCGATATAATAAACATAAGAATATGGTGTATGGATACCGCGCTGTCATACTACTGCATAAACAATTTGCATAAACAGGTATGTATTATTGTACGGCTTTCCGTACAAAGCAGAAGTTATGATTAAGACAAATTATTCATATACATAAAAACATAAAATGAGTACTATATAAACAATTTACGTCAATGGACTGCTTTGTAATCCTGTGAATGACTTCTTACATTAGACTAACTAAAACCTATTTGAGATATAAATACATATGTATAATTAAGATGTTTAATGTTGCAGGTGGCGCTACTTACTATGTACTACGAGATTAAGGAAGAAATAAACGTTCTCGGCGTGGGTTCTACCTACATGCTGCTAAACAGGCTCGATAGTGATATACTGGTAACGTGTTTCAGTATGTTAATTTAAACTCATATAACAGTACTAGCTAAACCCCCGATTCCATACCCGTAGTATTCGGAAAGTTTACAATTATGTTTATAAACGTGGTAATAATGTACTAAGAAACTAAATTTGTAAAACGTTATAAGGTACTATAAATAGACACAACATAATGTTTAAGTTAGTAGTATTAGTGTAATTCTATATGACTGAAGTTTTTATTATTTAGCCTTAACTGACGCTTGTTTTTAATTTACATTATTATTATATTATCTGTGCAATGAAGAGCATATAAACAGTAAGGTTACCATGTACCAGTTCTATATCAATTGCACACTTCTAAAAATATGTCTCTACTGAGTGTAATGTGGAGTGTTTTTATATTAATAAGTTATCCGCATTTGTCGCAGGTGTCAGCCATTGCAGTACCAGAGGAAATCGATAGTAATGTAATTTTACGACCAAAAGCGTTCAAAGTGGTCCAACCTGCAAAAGAAGGAAGGTTAGAATGTACATTTTAAATAATTCTAATGTTACACATATGTTTAGGTAAGGGAATGCCAACCTGATTGTCAGCGGTAACGTTCACCTACATACATCACGTTACCATTTGACACTCGTGATACCGTTCATGCATTGCCATTCAATACAAAAACAGTATATTTTGGTGCCTGTTGCCCATTATTAATAAATGCAACATATATTATACTACAAAATATGTTATATTAGTATAATTGTTTATAATTCTACAGACTTATATACTTTGATGATAGAAGAGTGAAAATTGTAGAGTGTATGTATTATTTGTTGTCACATCATTAAAACTTTTACCATATAATAAAATATTTGGGGTATAAAAATAGATAACAACCAATGAAGAATGTTAATAGGTATGCCAAATCGGTTGAAAGTTTTATATAATAAAGCTTGTATGTTTACAAATATATTAGTTTTTGTTTTAGACAAAAATACCTATTAGTTTTGATTTTATAGGCATTTAAACTTACGATAAATTTCGAGTCCCGCTAACAGTCACGTGACATGTGACGTCATTTTACAACGGTCCGCTCCGCTTAGTAGCGAGTCACCGAGTTTGTGCAGTATTTTGTTTCATTTTCATAATGAAATGGATGTAGGAATCGAAATAGGGCAATCGGATAATCTGCCTAAAATAGATGCACTAATGGTTGCCTATTATTTATCAATAAATACCTAGTGATTTCGTTGCCGCCGAAATGCGAGGAAAAAAAAAGTATATTAACTTTTCTTGCTATTTAGAAAATTATTTATCTGTTTTAAAGTGTTTTGTTAAAAAAAATACCCAACTGATATCGTACTGCAAGTATTGCAACTCAAATAGGCAGAAGTACTAATCCTTTTAGATTTATGTCTATAGGCACGTATGTACATATGTGAATATAGGTACCTCTTTTAGTAAATTTAACTAAACACATATATTGATTTATTGCAAATGTAGTGGGTTGAACAGATGTACTAAACCTTTTTTAATTTTCATTTGTCTTATTAATAGGCCGTTTTATTTATTTTTATTTATAACTTATTCCAAGTCGGCAAGAGACGGCTTTGGTGATGATGCTATCTGATGCTAGATGATGATATTACATAAAAGTAAAAAGAGCAGTACATTTAAAACCACGAAGTTTTAAATGTAACTTGCAAAGATTGTGTCTCCAACAGAGGCTGTAAACGTAGTATAGCATTTTTAATGTGGCTACATCGTCGAAGAGAGGACGCAACGACTGTTATCAAATTTATTGGATATTTTTGTGGTTATAATAAAAATAACTATTACTTTGGTGGTTGTATTTGTACGTTTCGGCATAACACATGATTTCCTAGTATTTAGTTTGGTTATTTTTGAAGGTATTTATAATTTCTAATGAAACGTAAGACGACTCCGTGCTGAGAGCGCGAGCGGACTAAGCGACTGTTGCACTATGACGTCACACCGTCACACGAGTCCGCATCCCACGTTTACTTCTATAAATCAGAAACTAATTGACGTATTGAAGTAATTCTTTCACTTATATTTTTTATTTTTGACAGAGAATAAAGCAAGAACAACAGCAACAAGCAAGCTAATATTCAAAATTAGTTAACATTCTTCATTCTCAAACCTGTCAATTTCTGTACACATGTAAAAATTCATAGAAATCGGTGAACCCGTTTTGGACAAATATGGCAACTAATATTGTGACAATTTTATATATTAGAAGATTAGAAAGTTGTGTATATCGGTTACTCATCCTACAGCATCCACGGTACTCCGCTCTGTCGATTCTGGTTGCGTGGGCGCTGGCGCGGCGGTAATCCTGTTGAGCTTCGGACGTACATCTGTCTGGCGCTGGCGAAGAGCGGCGAGGAAAGTTATCCGGCAGATACGCCTGTCCCAGTACGACTTGGCGACGATAACGCGCCAGTTAGGCGAGCCATAGCTCTAACAGATGCAAACAACAGATCTGTAAGTCTTACTGTATTTACTACTTCACTAGTGTATTATATAGTAAAGTGGTTAGACACATATCTTAGAATTAATGCAAAGTTACAACATTTATACAAATATATAGTTACATGGAAGTTTCCGAATGCCTAAACAAATGAAAAAATGTGTATGATTGTTCAAAAGTGATTTTTCTATACTTCTTTGTTCTGACGGTTTCAGTGGCAACTTCTCAGTAGTTGCTTGTTTAATAGACAAAGAGATCATTTGTACCCATAAAATACCATCTCAACTAAGTAAACGGTCTTAAAGGTTTATCTAATAAATTCAATTACAGGTACCGGTGGTGGTGACACAGTTGAAGCTTGACGGCCGCTGGTTAATAGCGGTCGCCCGCGACCCGTGCCCGCAATTCCTCGTTCACAACCGTACGAGTTGCCCGTTGATGGTCGCGCAGCCCGTACAATTTACTGATGAGCCATCCACCTCGAATATCACTGTAAGTTTTATATAATAATAATAATAACTAAGGACAATTCTCATAGCGCCCATCTAGTCCCAAGCTAACAGAGCTTGTGTGTAGGTACTAGACAGCTGATAGAAATACGTAAATAGTTTTTTTTAATAAGTATACATACAAAACAGCCAGACCTATACAAACATTCATACTGGTAAATACAAGGGCTTGTATCGTGCGAGGAGTCGAACAGTTGGAAGTTAAACTATGTGTGTGTTTCCTTCGTCCACATAATCTATTATTATATAAATAAATATCTCAGGACATTAATAATATAAGTGCGACGCTCGGACCATAAGATTCTTAGTATATTGCTAGGAATTTCATGCAATAGACAAATCTGAAGCATATATTTTGAATTTTACGTTAATAATAATGTGATTATGTTAATTTATATGTGGTCGATGTGGGAGCAAGAGGTATACTAGCGAAATCTCTCTACCAACTTCTAAACGATCTTAATCTGTCTTAGAATTAAGTTATATACTTAAAACGTGTATCTAAGGCTGAACTTACCGGCTCCTATAAGTCTTGGCTGGGTAGAGAAAGAAAAATGAGCGGTGAAGGTGAGTGTACGGCAAAATATAGACGTACGGCGTGGGACCACTTAAACTTACATTCGGTCACAAGTACCGGGAACTGCTCGGAGGTTTTCTCTCTGTAACCTTTGTAGTAGATGTTTATACAGTACTCTGTGCATTTTATAGAAGCGGAGTCTGTTTTGTGAAATGGCGGAAACTTCCGAATTAAATGTGTAGCGCAAATTCATTTTATTTATTTAAATTCATATTTAAATATGGTACATTCTGAATCTGCAGGCGAGCACGGAATGTGCGGGCACGCGGTGGCGGTGCGTGGTACGTCCCGCCACTATGAAGCACTACTCGAGTCCGGCGCACTGCGCTCGATACCCGCCACCGGCGTCACCAGCGCCACCTACCGTCCCCTTTGTCACATTCGCTAAACTCACAGGTAACGTTATTATATTATTATTGTTAATGTCATTAGTTGCCTTTACACATACGCTCTAACACGCTGGAATCGACGGGAGCATGTAAATTATTTATTGACAACCAGAAATACCGTGCGCACCGCTAGTTCGCACTTACTTTCATCAATCGTGCGTGCTTTGGCCTTTTTTTTAATAATTATTATTTGCAAAAATGTGAACACCTTAAAGTTTTTAAAGAAAGTTCCCGGGCTAGATGAAGGAGGGAATGTGTAATGTAAAGGCAGATTGGTTTAGAATTTTTTTCCCGAAAACCAGAATATATGAAAGGTATAACCGAAATATTCTTGATATCCCAGATATTGAAATCTCTCAAGACGCATACAAATTTCGGATGGATGACTGAAACTAGTGTGAGCGATGAGATATAATTCTGTGTTGTGGCGGAAGGGGATTGTTAGTAATGTGGACTAATGATCCCAATGCTAACAATATAGCAGGTTGAACTGCACGCGATTCGCCCTGGAAACCGTCGTGTTAAATTCCTGAAGACTTTGTTACGATGTGCTAATTGACCTGATCTTAATATCGTCTTATTGTTCTCTACTGGTGCCTCACCGGCGTAAACCGTTATCGCTAGCGGGAACAGTATTCCATTATCATCCATTAACAAAAATCGTGTGTTGTTGAGACAGACGAGGACGTGGAGCCCGAATGGAGTGCGCCCGTGGCAGCGACGGAGGGCGAGCAGTTGCTGCAGCTATTCGGAAACCTCACCGTCAAGTTGCGCGTCCGCACGCACCACCACTCCACGCTGCTCGAACTGCAGGACGTCGACCATGTAACGACCCAGACATACATATATATATATATAATGATACTATAAATAACCTATACAGTTGATGGTTTGCTCGGTGACTGAAGTAGTTGAGTACGAGTAGTAAAAATACGTACGGTAAAAGTACTTGAATAGAAATAGTAATATAATATTATATATTCAAACAAACTTAACACTTTTGAATAGTCATATTTTTTTAATCAACCTTTATTGGGATACGAGACTAAGAAGACAGAAGAGTTTAAAAATCTCCATGTAGAAACATATTAAAAATTGATAGTTTTAATGCCGTTGGCCGCAGATGGAACTGGATGGAAAAACACAGGGCGAGTGCAGAGAGCACTTGGACATGCACAATTATTTATGGAGAAAATTGTATTGGTTCAAACCTCGGGGTCAGGCCGTCGTTATTTCAATATTCGTTAGAAGTAGATGAGGCATAGCTCAGAGGGGAAATAATAGGGTTGACAGATTGAGTTATTGGAAAATAATTTATATAATCCTGGACATATCACAATTAAAAGACCACCTTTCAATACTAAATTTTTAGAATGTCCTAAACATTGTAAAAAACCAATAGTGTTACCAATTCCATTTGTTAATGTTTTGTTAGTATGTTATTAAACTGATTAAATATTGTCAACAGAGAGACATCTCAGCGAGCGACATCAGAAGAAGACTGCTGGGTCCATTTTTAACGCAGGACACCACGCATTTTGGGGTAGGTACATTATTACTTACACTCTTTTAAAAATAGTTCTTAGACCTACAATGGTACAGTTTTCGTTATCTAAAGAGATATTTATCAGGACTTGAAATCACCGGAAAAAATAAATAATCCGTCAGGCTGTCTATCTTAAGTAGTTTCTTTTGTTTGTTGATGTATTTCTTCTTTTCTACTCATGTGCCTCTGTACTTTATTAATAGGAATACCCTCTTTCATAAGGTTAACTGGAAGATATTTTTTGTACGAGATATTTATCTATATTATTATGTTAATTAGTGTATACACAAATAAGTGTATAAAAATAATTATTTGTGTATCAGTTTATCAGTATATATAACAGAAGCTTTATTTGACTTGGGTCTATCTAGATTGCGCTGTATGAATTGTATGCTGCTGTATGGTTTTATTATATCTTATGTTTCGTTCACACCATTCTTAGTTTACAATGTCACTAACAAAATTAATAACATTTAGTCTATAATCACTAATTGTATATTTTTATGCATTTTCAGCAATCCTTAAATACCCATTCAAGATGTAAACTGGAGAGAATTGCCGCTGAAGATAACGGTACGTTAATATTTATCTAACTCTATAAAGATGTCTACTAATTATTCTCACCTCCTCGATATCCACCTCATAAAGAGCTATATTACAATTTATACTTATTTTGATGAAATTTTTATAGTCATATTTTTTATATTCTACTACTGATTTCGAACGCCACTCGACTGCAGAAGAATGAACAAGAAACTTTCGTGTTGCTCTTTTTAATAAATGTTGTTTTAAATAAATACATATTGACAAGTACGCATGCGTGCTAGTCAACATAGAAACCGCAATATTTAAATATAAGATCAGTGAGGCATATATTATTTTAATTAATGTAATTTACACCAACTAGTTGCCATTGTATTTATATACCAAAATTTGTATTACTGGGTACAATTTGTTTCTCAGTTTTGATACCAGATGGCGTTAATTACAATATTTAAAGATTGCCTTGTTTTTCTCTAACATAGAGCGGTATAACAACAAGGCTTGGAATTCGAACAAGAGAAATCCAAACTCCATCACACACATTTGGTTTTTCATAGATAAGTGGCTTGGGTTCTTGTTCTATTAGTATCGATGATGAATAATGATGATGAAATCGCAACTTATTAATAATTATCTGTGGTTGAGAGCTATAGCTATCTTATATTACTAGCCTAGTTACTTAGACTAATCGTTTGTTCAAATTTAATGCGTATCAAAACTATAACTAAAAAAAAAAATGTGCTACAATGTATATGATATCCGATTATGTTTAGTTTACATAGCTCTACACAGTATTTCAACAGAAGAGAGCGGACGGCGAGGCGTTACTAGTGATATTCGTGGTAAATAGTGACGTACCATCTAACCAATGCCTCTGACAACCCTGTGCGAACATTCGTCAAGTTATTCATCATCATCATTATTACCTTACCTTTATCCGTATTATTTGTGGTCGGCGCAGTACGTCTCCTTCTTCCACTGATCCCTGTCAATCGTCACATATGAGCTTACTCTCCTTTTATACGTATCATCATTAAGGTATAAAATTATTATAAAAAGTAGTATTCCTGTTTTGTTTTACAGTACTAAACAGATCAGTGCAACAGACGTCAATGACTACAGCACCCGAACAAGGTACGCTAAGGATGGCAGTTTCGGAATTAGAAGGAACAAGCCAGCCGTCCCTCACCGCTGTACATACAACAGAGATACTCGTAGTGCCAGAAGTTCGGACACCAGAGGCAATCGAAGTACTAGATATGGACCCCACGAAGACTGTCTTTACAGGGAATAGTCAAGTGGAACTAGAAACAGGTATGAGGGTTGATAATGTCAAAGTTTTCTCGGTGGTCTGGCGACTTTAGCATGCCGCCTTCCGATGGTCGCCGGTTCGATTCCTCGCACGGTGCAAACCTAGCTACTTTACTTAATAAGAACGGGCCAGAATCTAAATATTTTTTATGTTGTAATTTTTTTTTAAATAATACACTCAACGTGGCGTGTCATGTAGCACTCCTTAGAAATTCGTTTTAATCCTCATAGCGATTTGACTAAGAGGTATACAGTTAAAAATTTAGTTAGCGTATTTGCTCTACATTCTTCGGTATATAATAGCTTATGTTCTATTAACAGAAAGCGGAGTACCAAAAATCAATGACGACGAGGCTGAGCGGAATATGTCGAGTGTTATGGGCTCCTCTACCACATCGCTGACATTTAACGATGTGCCAGTATCAGGTAAACTTATTACAAATTTAAGGCTTTTCATGCTTTATCCCATTTAAACATGCGGTGATTGAAATTACAATAGCTTAAGCTGAGGTTAGAACCTTGGCAGTTATAGGCCAAAACAGCATTCCTAACAGATTTGAAAAAGAATTATTGCCATCTGAGTTGAGGAGATTTTTTCAATTTTTTAATATTAATGTAACTTGAACGGCAAACAATGTTAAGAGTGTAAATTGGCAATTATTGTCTATATTTAAAGAGAAACTTTCCGAGCATTCCATGGATTCGACATGCGGTTGCCATACATCACCAGGTTGATTCGAGCAATTTCCTGGACTTGTGATGCGAACTTAGGTTTAAAATGATATATATCTATTGTATTGTATGTTGGACTCTGTTTCCGCAGTTATCCTCTCTTTTTTTGCCGTTATGCGTGTAGAGCCATGGCTACTATAATAATCAGCCAAACTCCTCCCAGAAGTGCAGACGCCTCCTGATGTCTTCACTGGTTAAATACAGCGATCTCACCATTTCCAAGATACATATGTGTATGTTGCGTGGCCACCACTATGTAGTCCAGGATTCTTCGACTTCAAAGCAGGCTCGACAAAGAGGGCTGTCAGTAGTGCCTTGTTATATAACTAATTGTATCTTAAATTTCCTGTGGCGTAGAATGGTGTGGTGGAGACGGTACGCAGGCGCAGGTGGAGCGCCTATGGTGCGTGGTGGACGCGTTGGTAGTACAGATGGCGGCTGCAGCCGACGCGCGGCCGCTGCTGGCGGTACACGCGGACCGCGCCACGCTGCACGTGCGAGCCGATCATAAGGTATGTACGGTCCGCAGCGAAAGCAGGCGACAACAAATGGTTGCTATATCAATTTGTAATGGTACTCGACGCACGTTATCATAACAATAGTAAGTCATAACGGTGTTTAGTGTCGTAAATATTTATTTATTATTATTTTATGTTTATATTATTCTTTTTTGTAATTCGTGTGCGTCCGTACTCTGGCTCAGACTGAAAATCAGCGATGGAAACTTGGTTTCCAGCATTATGCTGAGTTACTACTACTATTTTGTAACGTGTGTAATTGTTCTTTTTTGTATATCATTATTGTTGTGTCAATACAAGTTAATAAATTATATTCTTTTCTATCATAGTCGAACATTTGCGCTATATAAACTAATATCAGAACAGGACTGGAATGGTATGACGAACATTAAGAATAAGATAATCAAAACCGTAACGGTCTTATTACAAAAAATCTGTTAAAACTCGGACGAAACGTGGTCAAAACCACGATATTAAAATAATAATTTCATAAACCACGACCATTTAGGTCGTGGTTTAAACCATTCCTAAAGTTAATACTTGGAATAAGCCTAACATTATTACAAATCCAGATCTAACAGAGGACTACTTAGTATTACAGTTAAATCGTTCATTATGTATTCCATACAGAAATCAGTCACTCCTGTCTGTTAGCGTACAATTACGTTCCGTTTTACCAGAAAACTGAAAAGATCAAAAATAATATTACTTCAAATAAAAATGTATAAACTAAAAATAAATTTATTTCTATTTA